GAAGTCTCAAATTTTGGGATAATATGTTAGTTAAATACATCTGACGTAATATCTCCGCTAACAAAAGAGACTTTAATCCATTATCTACTTCGTATTTAATCTTTTTAGTCGCATCCGGCAATAATACTTTTTCGGAAGTCTTTGCAAATTCATTGTTAATTTTTTCCTACCGGAACCGAAATTTTCTTAAAATATCGACTGTTTCACAAAGCACATAGTATTACTTCTTACACAGAATCCAAAATGTTTTGATGAGGCGAAGATAAGGGACTTTTGGAGGGTTTTCATTTTTCAAAATAACTGCCATTTGATCACCATACATTTTGACGCCAACCAAATCGGAAATTTCTTGAGAAGTTTTTTAAAACATTTTAATTTCGCTTCGGTTTTCACTTTCAAGTGAAAATATATCTCTCTTGAGAGATATATTAGATGGTTTTTTCTCATGCTGCGGATTTAAGGTTAACATTTTCGGATTCTCCATACTTTTTTATGTCAGTCTTAATTTTTGTACGGCTAAACCCTTCTCTGTTAAAATGTGGTAAAGACTTCTTCGAGTCTTTCTCAGGGTTCGGAAAACCCCGGGGTTTTTGTAGAAAAACCCAACCCCGTGGGTTTTTTTCCGGGGTTTTTGGGGTTTTTGGGTTTTTGTGGGTTTTTGTGGGTTTTTGTAGATTCTGGGGCAGGTTGAACCAGAATTCGTAAAATTATATATTAGAGAAAAACTAATCTAATATACGAATTCAGCGTGCAATTTTAACCGTTATCATTGACTTGGACTGTTGCATCGAAAATTCGTGTTTAACATGTAAACCTGGAAATATTCCATAATATTTGGAAATTCAAGTCGCACAAGAAAATTCTGAAAACTTCATGATGAATCTGAAAATTTAATTATCATTGATCTAAGTTGTAGTTTAAGGGATTTTGTTTCAATCTGCCTCAAAATCCTACAAAAACCCCGCAAAAACCCCATTAAGCATTAGGGTTTTTCCGGAGATTTGATACCCCAAAAACCCACAAAAACCCCAAAAACCCCAACCCACAAAAACCCGGGGTGGCGAACCCTCTTTCTAACTCAAATTTTGGTGCTTACAAAAAATTCGTTTCCCGACTTCCTCGCTTTGAAGTTGCGTACGAAATTTGTTTTTCAAGCAAAGCTTATGAAATTTTGAGGGTACGTGGTTGAATATATTTTCAATATTATACGAAAAAATAAGATCTCTGAAACTATTGTTTATTACCCTGCTACTAATTACAAACTGATCACCACTTCCCGGGGCGACCCCTCTACATAATATCCGACCGAATTTAATTACTTTCTGCAACAATAAATCAATTTCATAGGTTTTATTGGGTCTTGGTTCTTGTTGCAACCACCGCCATCGCTATTTTTATGACTGTTCATTCAAGCCAAGAATTCAAGGACAACCCAGTCGCCATACTTTTTAAACCAACCCGACTCCCAATCAATAATGTCACATTTCCACAACTGACTATTGGGAAGCATAATAACATCAATGACCAATTTTTTGAGGAAGTGTTGAGGCGAGTCATTTTAACTGTATTACAATTCATTCAAGTTCGCATGAACAATTTATGAATATTATGAAACTAGGCTTCAGAACGAATATGAGGAGACAACTGCAGTCATAAAACTTAACGGGATGAAATTAAATCAAAATCAAGCAACAAAGTCCCTAATTCTCATGAAAATGTTCTGCCAACCATGGTTAAGAGGTTCCAACTGGCGTTCAACTGAAATTCCTCCTAACCCAAGCGACGGTCTCATGCTAAATTTTGACTTCAATGACATTAGATTGTTGGATTTTGATGAAGACACTACTTTCGAGATGGATTTAGCTGCAAAGATCATAGAGGTTTTTTTCAAATCATGAAATGTATATAGATAATTTAAGCATACTGTTATCAAATCCTGCCTGATAGGGGACCACCAAGTGCGCTGAAATGATGCTGGCTTGCACATTTAATTCAATTCAAGTGGATTGTTCTGAACTATTTAAGGATATCTACACAGAATCTGGCCCTGCATGTAGCTTTAATGCCATGCCCTCCAACTTATTGAGAAAGTATGCTTGCAATTTTACTCATAAACTATTCAGTATTATGAATTATATTACTTCATTAGGCAACAAACATTCATTACCATGCTTGAGAAAATGCAACGGAACATTAGTGGAGCAGAAAACGACACATGGAAAGCCTGGAACGTGAAGAAAAATTTCCAAACCAATATTACTCGAGGAGGCAAGAAGATAGGGATTCCAGAATTTCAAGAGCAGGAAGGGGAGTGGTTTGGCTTTGAATTCGTCATAAAATATCCTAAACGTGGAAAATATTGTCGCCAGTCTGACTCCAGCAACTATCGGGTACCGAAAAAACTGTCGAAAGTATCTTTAGTACATAACCAGTTACTAATTTGTAATTTTTTAAGATAACGGTAAATTTCCCCCTTGATGAGCCCAACTTGCGAGATCATGGAAGGGACATCCCTCCAGGTTATAAGGTGATTAATGTCATTAAACCAAGGGTTATAATGGCAGAGGAGGATTCGCGACCTGCGCCACCAGTGAGTTATTTTTAGTCAACTGTCTCTTAAGTACATAAACACGTTCAATACTAATTTACCCTTTTCAAAACAGGAAAAGAGGGGCTGCTATTTCGCTACCGAAAGAAAGCTTGCATTCTACAATAATTACACTGAAAGCAATTGTTGGAGGGAATGCACTGTCAATGCGACTTTAAAGAATTGTGGATGCAGCAGAGTGTACCATCCACGTGAATAAATTGAATATTTGTTTTTCTCATTCATATTAATGAATAACTTAACCATGAATTAATCTATTATGACACCGTTTCAGGGAATTCTGATAACAGGATCTGTTCGACACGAGATGATGAAATTTGTGCAAATGGCGTAGAATGTATGAACCTTAATTTTTATTTATAATATAATGTAAAAAAAACAATTGTGATTGACTAATTAGTTTTTACTGTTTCAGCCAATCGAAACGGCTCCAGAGATTGCAAATGTCTCCCAGGATGCAACGAGATAACGTATGAAATGACCACGACACTAGTTCCATACCCAGAAAATGAGGTTCCTGAGCTGGTTCAAGACTTTCTTAAAGGGTAAAAAATTTCGACCTGATTTTTGTCTCACTGCAAAGCACAATTCTAATTTTATGACTTATGATAGTGACGACACCCCAACATCACTTGTCATCACGTACATGCAAGCTGCCTCTGTCCTAGTGGTCACTTCAAAACATCGCTTCGACTGGTTTGAGCAACTTGGTAAGTAAAAAATAAAACCTATTTCTTGCTTTCACTTCTTGCTTTCTCTCATAAAAATGCATCCACATCTTTCACCATTAAGGATTGCATGGAGGAAATTGGGGATTAACGAGTGGCCTGGGACTCTTGGACCTTGGGAGACTAATTTTCTCCGTGATTTATGTTTTTGTCATCACTGGCATTGTTTCCTACGTGGCGAAATGTTGTTGGTGTTGGTCACGACCAGAAGAGAGTCATTCCAAAATGGCCGAGTTGTACATGACAGCGATGACACTCCCGATGGGTATCGCCATTCCTGACGCTGTTAGAGTAGGCCAACTAACCAAGTACCCGAAAATGCCACAAATTGTAAAGGATTACATGGAAGACTTTGCAAAATCAAAGCAACCGGAAGTGGAAGAAAGTGACGTTGATCACGAAAATGAGAATGGCATCGAAGTTATCACAGAGCAACCAACTTCATCCTCTCCCGAACGACCAAGCACTGCCCAAAGTGAATCAAAATCACGGAAATTAGTCCGACCCAAATCAGCAAAAGCTATCGCAAAGTCAAAATTGCCATATTGGACGGTGGGGAACTTTTTGGAGTGGTTTCCAATTCGATATGGCTTAAAAATTAAGCACAATTTGGCAGATGATTTTGATGATGATAAAACTGAGCAATGCTGCTGCACTTCTTGCTTTCCTCGCTGTAATGCTAAAGATGAGGTGATTGTCCCCCTTGCTGAAGTTATTGTGGAGAATCAAGCGGTCGAATTAGTGGATGAACCCGTCGCTGGGCCTAGTCGAGCTGTCGCCCCCGCGAACGCCAGCAATACTGACACCGACCCAGCGGAAGCTTCCCAAAGCGACCCAGCAGTTCTGGAGGAAGAAGATTTTGAAGAGATGTGGCGACGGCTTTAAACTTATGCACGCTTATTTATGTGTCCTGCTTGCAGATAAGCCAATTCGCGACCGATATTAATTTTGCAGTTTTTCTGTATTGATCTCCAATTTCTGCTAATATTACGTATTTTTAGTACAGCTTCAATTGATACACATGCGTCTAAATAAAAATTCGCAATGCTTTGCTGCAAAATGTTTAAAATTTGAATAATTTCACGTATGCATAACTTGATCTCATTGTCAGATTTAGAATTTAACGGATGTAATTACTTGACAGCGTAAAGCGAATAAATAGGTATACAATATAGAAAAGTTACAAAATACGAAAACAAAATAAAAAACCTACTCCAAGCAACTTTGCGGGGCCTTTTAAGATAGCATTAATACCATCTTGGTAGTTAATGGCAACACATTTGGGTGGAAAGGACCCCCACTGGCCAATTACTTGGCCAATCATGCCCATCTCCGAACTCATCCTTACTTTTGACCCGAAGATGAAGTGTGCAAAATTTCAAGTCGATAGCTTGTGTTTAAAGAGAGTTATCGTGCGCACAGACGGACGCACAGACGGACGGACAGACAGACATCTTGGTAAATCTATAAGGCCATCTTAAAAGGCCTAAAAACGCGTCTATTTGCAATAAAATGATTTAAATAATTCATAATTCATTAAATAATTTAGGAACATGTTTTCTGCCTGTTTTTAGTCAGATTAGACTTGTTTTACGAATTTTAATTGAATTATTGTAAAGTTATTGCTGATAATATTTTGTTTTACTTATTTATAGACAAGTAAATTTGTACTTCATTTTGAATTTATTTTTTAAATTGCTGATGAACTATGTATCATAATTACACTCTCAAATAATTGTGCTTTTGGTTTGTTTCAATTCCAAGCAGGAATATAAATAATTTAATTAATAAACACTAATAGAATTTTTTTAAACAGTTAAAATCCCTATGTACATGTATTCTGACAAAGTATAATTTGATAATTTACTACATAAAGGATTGCATGATTCGCATAATATAAGCTACAAGTACTAAACGGTGGAACTCCCTTTTGTAAAGCGATTATTTTGCACTTACAAACCGAAATAAAATTGGAAACTTATTCTTTCCTTTCGTACTCTCTTTGGACATTTTCAAGATATCTCTTTAGGCAGGCTTCGAATACATTTTCTCGAGCTGCTGGATATTGGGAAGCACTGACTGGGTTAGGTTGACCTCGTTTTCCTAAAGCAAGATGTCTAGTTGGTATAGGCTGGACGGCATCGGCACAGCGTCTTATTCGTCGTTCTTCTCTGCAACATTCTTCAGTTTTGCATATTCGAGAAAATTTCATTTCACAGAATTCACGGCTGGACTCGTAACAGATCCCCTTAAAGCGAACTACTGCAACTCCTCCAAGTTATCCAGGTCATCCAGGTCACCAGGTCGAAAAAATGAAGTGAAACTTTTGTATCGAATTTCGAAATTCTACGTCGGGTTTCTTAAGATATGGGTACAATTCTTAGCGGATAGTCAGGTCATCGTATCCAGTGATTATCTGGCCGCACCCCCTAATTACAAGTCAAAGTGGGAGTGGTCAAAGGAAAAGTTCAATCAATTAAAGTAGAAAAAAATTTCCTAGCGCAGTGATTTCCGGAATTCAAGATCGCCATTACACATAATATTGATGATGCACCCAATCCCAACGACAGGATGTTATCGTTGACCCCCTGGCGACAAAGGGGTGTGGCCATTGGCGCTTCTGCGAATACCCAACTAAAGTACGTCATGCAACATATCATTCTTCTCAGCTTAGTGAGAGGATCTCAGCCGCATAATTGAAATTTGGAAACCACACCCCCAGTGGGAGTGGTCTTCAGCGACTTCTCGATTTTAATATCACCACGTCATGTGATATATCATTTTTCTCACTAAAATCACGGGATTATCATGGCATAATTGAAATTTGGAAACCACACCCCCAGTGGGTGTGGCCATCAGCAACTTCTCGATTCCGATACCACCACGCCATGTGATATATCATTTTTCTCACCAAAATCACGGGATTATCATTGCATAATTGAAGTTAGGAAACCACACCCCAGTGGGTGTGGTCATCAGCGACTTCTCGATTTTAATATCACCACGTCATGTGATGTATCATTTTTCTCACTAAAATCACGCGATTATCATGGCATAATTGAAATTTGGAAACCACACCCCCAGTGGGTGTGGCCATCAGCGACTTCTGGATTTTAATACCACCACGTCATGTGATATATCATTTTTCTCACCAAAATCACGGGATTATCATGGCATAATTGAAATTTGGAAACCACACCCCCAGTGGGTGTGGTTATCATTTTGCTCACCAAAATCACGTGATTATCATCGCATAATCGAAATTTGGAAACATTTCTGATAATTTCTGATAATTTCTGCTAATGCGATGACGCCTGAGGTATCGCTCCTATTTTGGCGCAACTAGGAAAACCATGTAACCCTTGCCGAGTACTTAAACACGTGTTTCAGGATTTTTGATAATGTTCAGGTTAAGAGAAATTATGCCGGAATCCGGGAGCGATAGTTCCCACGTTTACCCTCGGATTTTTCTCGCGAGGGAGAAAAGTACAGATTCCGCTCACAATTTCGATCATAATTTCGTCTAAAGTTAAAATGCGTGGGCATAACGTGGTTTACTCCGATTTTGACCAATTTGAAATTGCTCACAACGCAAAGCAAATAAGCAGACCCGTATTTTTTATTTTCCCTCATGCCCGCGTTTTGGTCGTTTTCACGTCGGAATTTTTGAATACATTTCTAGCGAATATAAGGATCTTTCAAAATGCTGTCAATGTCAATACTGTCCAAATTTAAATTATGCCGATGATATCCCGTGATTCTGGTGAGAAAAATGATATATCACATGACGTGGTGACATTAAAACCGAGAAGTCGCTGATCACCACACCCACTGGGGGTGTGGTTTCGTAATTTAAATTACGCCGTTGATATCCCGTGATTCTGGTGAGAAAAATGATATATCACATGACGTGGTGGCGTTAAAATCGAGAAGTCGCTAACGATCACACCCACTGGGGGTGTGGTTTCCAAATTTCGATTATGCGATGATAATCACGTGATTTTGGTGAGAAAAATGATATATCACATGACGTGGTGATATTAAAATCGAGAAGTCGCTGAAGACCACTCCCACTGGGGGTGTGGTTTCCAAATTTCAATTATGCGGCTGAGATCCCCTCACTAAGCTGAGAAGAATGATATGTCGCATGACGTACTTTAGTTGGGTATTCGCAGAAGCGCCAATGGCCACACCCCTTTGTCGCCAGGGGGTCAACGATAACATCCTGTCGTTGGGATTGGGTGCATCATCAATATTATGTGTAATGGCGATCTTGAATTTCGGAAATCACTGCGCTAGGAAATTTTTTTCTATGATCACTCATTTCTGCGGTTTTCGGGGATTATTTCTTGATTTTATTGTTGAAAATTGCTAGCTTTCAATGAACTACTGTCATTTTCATCAGGCAAGAATACAAAGATATCGGATACAAATCTAAACAATACATTCCTTTGACAAGTGAAAAATGGGAATTAATTGTCAGTAAATGTTACTTAGTCACAGTTAAATTATAAAAAAATTTAAATCTGTGACACCAAAACTGACCTCTGCTCATTAACTTGTCTTGTTATTAAGACGTATTGTTATTTTTAAAAAAATTATATTTACCCGAGTTCATTTGTGAAATAGGTTTGTCACCCATGGTAAAACGTCGTGTGATGAAAAAAGACCAGCGACCGTGCCTTTTCACTTTGTTGCTTCGTTGCAAAATCACAATTTCAAAAAAAAAGTTATGTTGCGAACTCGTAATAATTTAATTGTTTATTCAAAATGGTTTTCTTAAATTTTACTTTACGAGTAAATAAGCATTCACTAATCAGAAAATGTGGGACGACACTGACCATGGAATGGACGGTGCATGGACATTTTATCATTTTTTTTAGTCACACATTGTGTTAAAGACACGGCTTTTCCAAGAAAATGTGAACCTTTTTTTAACTGATTTTGGACTAATATATTATTTTTGGTAATACTTGACCCTTCACATATAAAAGGATTAATGTGTGTCTAATTTTATTAGACTAATAATGTGGTTATTTTATAAGAAATAACCTACAGTGCAGACTCCATATAGCCCGAGTCAGGGATAAGAATTTTACCAATTTTGTCATATTCTTCTATTAAGACCCATTAGCAACCTATCTACCAAATTTCAGCTTGGTATAACGATTTTGAAAAATCAGTATGGGTCACCCCCTAGGGTCACTCAAGATAAAAAATTTTCCAACTTGAAGTCATTATTATCTCGTAGGAGCCATTAGCAACCTCTGTACCAAATTTCAGCTTTCTACGACAATTTTGAAACTTTGGTGCATAAGACCCCACCCACCTAGATGACCCCCACTGGTCAAACACTTGACCGATTTCGCCCATCTTCGAACTCGTTTCCTAACTTTGCCCTATATGCATGTGGTAAAAATTTCAAGTCAATCGGTTCAGCCGTTTTGGCTCTATCGTGCCGGACAGACGGACGGACATGACGGTTCCATAAGCCCTGACTCGGGCTAAAAAGTATGTATAAAAACTTTTTTTATTAATTTGATCCATACCAGAAGCAAGATCTCAAAATTTCAATTCAGCATACGAAATTTCAACTTATGTGTATCAACAACACATTCGAAGCAAATGCAAATAAGCGAAAGAGAAATTTGCATAAAATAGCATGAAAATTTGTTCGGAGATTTTTAGCCCAAAAAAAGGCTTATGTACCCGTGCTGTCTGTCCGTCTGTGAAAAGTGCGTAAAATAAAGAGTAAAATTGAACATTTTTTCTTGCATAAATCTCGCGGTTACCATGGAAACGGGAAAGTGCGTAAGCCCGAGTCAGGGCTTATGGAACCATCATGTCCGTCCGTCCGTCCGTCCGTCTCTCCGTCTTACGATAACTCTCGTTAAACTCATCCTATCGACTTGAAATTTGCTACACATGTAGTATGGGGCAAATGAGGAGTTAAGTTCGAAGATGGGCGAAATCGGTCAAGTGGTTGACCAGTGGGGGTCATATAGGTGGATGGGGTATTATGCATCAAAATTTCAAAATTGTCATAGAAGGCAGAAATTTGGCACTGAGGTTGCTAATGGTGTCTAATGAAAGAGTATGAATTTAAGTTGGAAAAAATTTTATTTTGAAAGACCCTAGGGGGTGACCCATACTGATTTGTCAAAATCGTCATATCGAGTTGAAATTTGGTAGATAGGTTGCGTATGGGGTTTAAGGAAGAACATTAAATGAAATTGGTCAAATTTTTTATCTGGAGGGACCCGAGGGGGTGACCCATATCGATTTTTGAAAATCATTTAATTGAGCTGAAATTTACCATTGACGTTTCTAATAGCTCCTAATGAAATAATATGAAGTTAAATTAGTAAAATTTTTATGTGGAGCGATCCTAGGGGGTGGCCCATACCGATTTTTATAAATTGTCTTAAAAAGATGAAATTCGGTATGGTGATACTTAATGGTCTCGTATGGAAGTATATCAAGTTAAAAGCGAACAAAGTGGAACCAGAGTAGCCTAGGGGGTGACCCATACCGTTTCTAAAAGTAGCTATTTTAAAAATTGGTAACTGATATTCGAGAAATTGGTCATACTTGAATTGGCGAGATGAGAAGAAATAAAATTAAAGTGAAAGCTATTCATTGCGTTTTCTATACAGTTCAAAAAGGCACGCAAAAAGGCAAATAGGCAAATAGGAACAAATAGCAACAAGGCTGACTTTTTGCACACACTGGTCACCCCCATTGGTTTGGAAAACGGGCGTAGACGACTAAAAGTTGGCGTGGTCCTGCAGGGTTAGATTAGCTTAATAAATGTAAAGTAAACTTTAAGATTTTTTTGCCAGGAGGACCCAGTGGGGTTTTTGGAATTGGTTAAAGAAGCTGCAATTTTGCAGCGACGATTGCGAATAATTCGCAATCGACAAAAATTTCCCCATAATGACAGGTACCAACTACTATTAGTAGTTGGTTTGTACCGGTCACTTGACAAACATTTGGAAGAGGACTCTGTCCCTGACTCGGGCTATATAAACACTGCACACTGTAGGTTTTTATTTTTTTATTTTATTTTTTGTGGAGTTGTTTTTTCATGAAATTATTAAATTACGAAAAATGTATGAAATTTTTTGTAGTAATTTTTAAATCACGTGATATGTTTTATTTACTTTGGCCAAGAAAAACACTGTGCGTTACCATGGAAAATATTATTTTGATGATAAAAATTTATGGAATTATTTGCGAGTTTTATGGAATTTTATGCAATTTTTTGCGTGTTATTAGGTGCGAGGTTTCTATGGAAATTTAAAATTTAATTCTTAGGCGAAGTTTCTATTATTAAAAATTCAGAAACAAAATTGTGCGTGTGGACACGTGCGTTCGAAAAACTAGGTCAGAGCCAGCTGTGCGTAGATAGAGAGATTCCGGGATCGATCCTGATGACGCCCGGGTTTTTAAATTTAATTTAATGTGAAATTTAATTTTTTTCTACTTTAATTGGTTGAACTTTTCCTTTGACCACTCCCACTTTGACTTGTAATTAGGGGGTGCGGCCAGATAATCACTGGATACGATGACCTGACTATCCGCTAAGAATTGTACCCATATCTTAAGAAACCCGACGTAGAATTTCGAAATTCGATACAAAAGTTTCACTTCATTTTTTCGACCTGGTGACCTGGATAACCGGTGGGTGGGGTCCAATTTCAAAAATTTGAAAATATATATTTCGCGCAAGGGTCCAAGGTTTCCAAAACGGGCGCCATTTTGAAAATCCATCAACAACTGACCGAGCAATTAATTTCGAAACTTCACATGTTATTACTTATGGAGAGGTCGGCCATTTAGCCTCCCGAGAATTCCCTTGCTCTACCTTTTCCAAATGAACGATAATGGCAAGTGCATGCTACCATTCATTAGTACAAACAAATATTATTTATTGTCTTTTTACACTTTTAACATAAAACATACTATTTATCTATCCGACCGATTTTGGTTGTAAGCATCATATACAATAACTGATTTTAATTACATTTTGTAGTAATCAATCATTTTGAGATGTTTTATTGGTTCTTATTGCAACCAGCGCTATCGCCATTATTATGACGGTTCATTCAAGGCAAGAATTCACGGACAACCCAGCCACTATACTCTTCAAGCCCCCAATTAAAAATGTCACCTTTCCGCAATTGACTATTGGGAAGCAAAATAATAATAACCTCAATGTCCAATTTGGTAGGAAAGTGTGGAGGTTTGAATAGTTTTACGTGGCTTTGGAGAAGGTAGAAAATTTGCATGCTGCAAAATTCTTTGCAGAATTAGTTCCTGTAAAGTACATACATTGTACATGCACTTTTTCCCTTGTTAATGAAACATCGCTAAATGCCAATAATTGCAAAATTCAACGTGCATTCATATAAATACATATTTATATTCCATGCAGATTCATAATGCAATGCCCAATTGACGAAACTCTTTCAAAAATACTTATTGTTAGCTAAAAATATGTGTAATTGGGACAAGTCATGAAAATATTGAAAAATATTTCTTTAATCCAGTAAACTCTATAAGTTTTCTAAAAAATGTATTTTGCAAATTTTTAAAAGTGCACGATTTTCGTAAATTTTAATTTACTACAAAAATTAGATTATCCTTTATAAATGGTTCCCAAATAAGTTTAGAATTTTTTACAAAATTTCATAATGAAATATTGCCTTATTGCCTCATTCTTACCCAAGCGAATATTATACAATATGTTTGTCTTATGACAGAAATTAAATTAAACCATTACGTATGTATGTGCATGTACGGTATCAATTTCCCAACCACAATAGAACCACCACATAAAAACTCACCCATGTCAATGTCAAATTAGTAAAATCGCTGAGAATATCTATTGTATAAGTTTTCTCCCTTGAAAACCCAATCCAGCACAAAAAAGGACAAAGTAATTAACTGCCAATCTGAGGTGGAGATGCCTTTGAAGTATCTGCGGGTTGGCATGATACGGCCAATTTGCTCGTGTCGAGTGACTCGTACGTCGATATTTTAGTCACCAAATTAAAAGCAGGAATTGTTCCCCGGTGGCAGTTTTTGTGTAAATATTTGTCATACACGTTCACGTATTGGATTGCATGGATCTCGAAGTTGCTGTGATACGATATTGAACTGGATAACGGATTGGGTTCTCGGAATAACAGAAGCAGAGCGCGGATGCCAATGCAGTCCTTACAAGGGAGGAATCCTAACGTATGCTCACAGATTTTGAGCAAATTAGTGTCATCGATCACAAATTTAATTGGAATCAAATTTGCAAAGGACACAATCTGCTAATGCTCAGGGTAGGCAGAGATATTTGCATCCGAATAGGAAAAAACCCGCTTTAAAATTTGGAAAGTACACAATTTGTAAACTTTGGGCCGCATTTTCTCCTGCCAAACCTGAGCATTGGCTTCTGCAAATTTCACATTAATTAAATTTGTGACCGATTCCCACTAATTTGCTCAAAATCGGAGAGCATACACTGGAAGACCTCCATTGTTAGTTAGCTGCAATATACACCACTACCACTCCCACCATTGGCACGAGGAAAGCCCGTGTGCCTAAAAGTTACACAATAGAGGACTCGAACGATATTGCCACTTTTGTTGCCTTATCCATCTTGTTACAAAGTTAGGCTCCGTTTCGGAGAATAAGAGTGAAGTTTGATGAGGTAAACTTGACATTTTCCTGTTATTTCACGAGTGGGAGAAAGTTAGCCGGATGAATGCATACATATCACAGTGCTAAATGTGGACGCATGCACATGTATGTAACAATCATTACTGATTTCAACGTCATTTTAGAGGATGTATTTTGAGATATGTACATATTTATAATTTCCGAGCTTTCGTACACTGCAGAACTGCAAACTTCATCAGGCCAATTTATGTAACGATTTATGCAACAATTTGTTTCCGTATTCCGTACATTTTCATGACCAAGAAATGATACAGGAAATTGGTAAAATTGAGTTGCATGCAATTTTGTGCAAATTATGCGGTGCATATTTCTCCGGTATCCAAGAGAAGAGAAGGTCGAGTGCTGGTGTCCAAGGCGTAAGGAAAGTCAGGTTGGTCATACCGCCCTAAATTGCTACCCCACATTTGTCACCCCACTTTATTTGTAAGGAGGATATGCAAATGTATTTTGAAATAAACTTGATAAAGTTTAAGGAAGAAGACCCACATTTTTACATTTTTTTCAGAATTTAATGCAACATGGGAAAAAGTTTTTTACATACATTTTGCATGCCCAATACATTTTTTTCGGACAACACGGGAAGAAGTGAGATTATCAGTCTCAAATTCACTGGTAAAAGCACTCCAATTTTGCATAAATTCCGCCCAAGAGGAAGGAAGGAGGGGGAGAAATTGGGGGAAATTCCTGATGTGGCGTCGTAGCGGGATACTTTCACCATACGTTTTTGCGCATTTATGCATCTAAATAGCTCACTTTCAATGAAACTCTTTTTTTTCATGAAGTGACACACTGGTGGCTGGGACATGCGGGAGGACGTCGGTGGTGGGCGGATTATTAGCTTGATTTGACACGGTGTAGGTGTGGTTAGACGGTGGATAAAGTGAGTCAAGTCGTCAGTCCGGGAGAGCTAGCGGTCCATACCTGTTGAACTTTGTGAAAACTGGTGCCCAGTTTCCACAAGTTTACTACATACACATACGAAGGAAAGTACGAACAAAACAAGGTCACAAATTTATTTTAAACGTGCAAACAAATTAAAGGGATCATTTTTATTATTTTTTTAAGTTTTTAAAGTAATTTTTCACAATTTTCTTCTTCCTTGAGGATTATTATATAAATATGAATCGCTTAAAAGTTGTGAGCGTCCTCGTCATTCTTGCCAACATAGTTTGTTCAATTGGTTGCGACGAAATAAATAGCAAAGAGGAAGAAAGCGGAGAGGTTGAGATTTCTGGGGAAATTGAGACAAGCCCTGATCATGCTGTTCGTTCCACTCGGGTAAAGCGACTTCCGGAACATTTGGACCCTAATTATCCATTCTGGGTGAAAATTGGAGGTAAGTGAGTTAGTGTTTAAGATTAATTAACTGAGGAAATACATTATCAATGTTTGATACTGTACAAGTTGTACAGTACAATATTGCAAAATTTTAAAGGGGATTATCAAATATTTGTAATAAGTAGAAATGATTAAACTCTAGAAGCATATTTGCGAGGAAATTGAGACGATCATAATATAACATTTTGGGTGAACTTTCAGTGATGCAAATCTATTTCTGAAATGCAATTATTTCGTTGTTTTTACAATAAAATTAGTAAATTGTAGAACATTACAGAGAGAAAGTTCAGGAAATGACTTTTTCCTATGCTTAAAACAAGGGGTGTCGTATTTCAAGAATATATTTTATTTCATTTCGTCTCTGATTTCACTTCCTTCTGGTCGTATTTCATTTAATTAAATTTTCTAGTCTCTTTGATACTCATCGCCAGTCCGTCAAGATCGAGTTACGAATTTTGGGGGCCATGCATAAAGGATACGATACATTTTTTCGCACTACCCTTAAAATCGGTTGAATTGTGACTGTAGCTACATGCATATTAGATACCTTCATTAAACACCTTTATTAAGTCAGAATTTTTCGAATGCGTCACATTTGTCCATTCAACTCTTCAAGATTGCATCGCGTCAGTCTCACTCGGTCAAATTGTAATTGGGAAAATGTGTAAATCCGTCATGAATGAGACCAAAATTAAATCCGATCCAATTTGTTGTTTCTCATTTTCTCTGCCATGTCGCACTAATCCGTTAATCCATTAACGCCTCGACAAGAATAAATCACAGTGTAATAACAATAAAATAGGATGTAAAGACAGTCTGGGGACCACTTTCTATTAAGCGGATGGCCTTTTGGGGAGAACTAATTGGTCTTAATCTCAATAATTACCTGAATTTTTGCAGATTGCCCCACAACCTTGGACGGTACGAAGCAGTATTTCTGCCCCACCCCGGCTTCAGGGGGAGGATGGGTTTGTATCGATGGTGAGATATATGGAAATTTTGATGTGGATGAATTTTGAAAATTTCTGAATTTTTTTTTCAAAATTTGCCTGTTACAGATTACCAGTTGTGCGACGGTGTGAAGAATTGTCCCAACGCGGAAGACGAGTCGCACAGTTATTGCCTCTTTTTTCGAGTGGTATGTCATTCATGCAAATTCTGAGTTATTTTATTCACGTCAAAAATACGTCAAAAATACTTTGGCATTTTTTTACAAGGTACGATTTTACATAGTACGGAATGCGGAAGTAGACACGTTATAAAATTTAAATATTTAGTAAATTAGCAAACTCTGTGAAACATATTACTGGGTTTAAATTCAACGTGCTTAAAAATCTCGCAGTTTTTAATGAAATTAATTTGAGAAATAATGTATGACATTCTGAAAATGTGACGGAAATGCTCAGAATTAAAATGTGATCCTAACTTGATGCACTTCTTGTTGGGATGACCAACTGAATTTGGGGATGAATTTTTTTGTTGACATGAATGCGCCGAAATGCAAATGTATTTCAAAATCTATTTGTAATTCCACGACCTATTTAGCTGAAATCTGAGGTGGACGTGTTGACCCGAGCGATGACGACGTTGGGCTCCACCACGCCGAATGAGCAACCTATAATGGAAATGGATGACAGTGGTGGTGACGCTCCCTTGGTCGTCGACGGTACCGGTGGTGGTGACAGCATTTTTGGACGTGGAGATGATGACACAACGGTAGGAGTCGATCCCCTAAATCCCGAGGTTTTCGTTAGTCGGTATCATCGCCAGAGTGGACGATTCGTTCCAATTCAGTAGTAAAAACACAGTTTTGTAAAAAAAAAAAAAAAAAAAAAATAGAACTATCTAGTTGATTTTTGAATTTTGTCATAAATTGGATTATTTTTAGCTTAATTTTTTCTGATATGATCTCATTTGGTAATTAATATACATATGTATGTGTGTAAGTAAAAAAAATATTGGTATGTACAGAATAAAATTAATGCATGAGGTTTGCAGGATTTAAATATTTTTAAAATATACAAGTGATATATCGTTTCAAAATTTAAAATGTCACATTCACATATTTGTAAAGCTAATTATGCAAAGTTAATTCCTGGTTGACCAAAACATGATTCAAACTATAATAAAAGGATGTATGATGTGCTTTTTTTAAGCAGTTTTAGCAATTTTAAAAGCTGTCTTTACAATTTCAAACATTATGGGAAAAACCATACTTAATTGTGAACGCATCGTTTGATCATGTTCCATATTAGGCAGCACTTTTCACTATTTTAGTTACACATCACTTCATTACTTTATCTGAAATGGTAATGTCTCAAATCTTAATTCGTCATCATTTCTATCTCGTCATCATTCTTGATGATGAGTAATTGTTTTTGTAAATTATATAAGCAACGGCAAAACCACAAGTTACACAACTCTTCACGAATTATATTGGACTTTAAACCCTTTCTTATCCAAATATTTCTAGTTATTTCCAGTTATTAAAATTATTTCCAATATTGAAATATGCATATTACTCTATAGTAGACGAAAGTTGTGACATAATTCACACCGGAAATGAGACCACGAAAATACAAGAAATTGCGTAAACGTGACTAAAACTGTCATCAGAAATTGCATGGGAAATTTCACCACAAGTTTCACCTTGCTAAATGTTACAAACTAGACATTTGTAATTCAGTGAAACTTGTTTTTATTTTCGTGTCCTTCAAAGCAATTCGTTAAATTTGTTTGGTTTGGTCACGTATTCACAATTGGTGACGCGCTGACTAAACTGTCTGGACATGTGGAAAGTTGTAAAATTCAAGGGGAAATTTGGGTATAAAATGTGGTCACTTCTGTCTCACAAGTCATTCACAACTTGGAATTCTCTAAGCTACAAAGGAGGCAATTATCTACCAAATATAGCGATTTATATAGTAGCGATTATACAGTAGTGCCAAAATTTTTGTATAATTTTTTAAGAAATTTAAAAAATAAAATGTCTGTCCGGTTTAATAAAGTTCAGTTTACGAATTTTGTCATGTTTAGTAAACATTAATCAGAGGTGACAAATCTCAAGTGACAACTAAATAAATATAATTACTTAATTCCACTGCCATAAATCTGTGATTTTAAATATTAAAATAATTTTGTTTAATTAATAATTTGAAGAAATACAAATGCTAAAAAATACTCGATTTTTCCAAATCGGCTCGAAAGGAGTGGTCGAATACAATAATGACAAATATATTGGGTCCAAAGCGTCCTTTAATTCGTATATTGAAGGATTTGCAAAATTCAAGTTGGACGATGACGAAGATGAAGAAAAGTCGGAAGAAGGAATCACGATTCACGAGAAAAGTTCGGGGTCGAAGAGTTATAAAAAAGTGGAAAAATTTGAGAAACCCAAAAGTTCGAAAATTCCTTCCAAACCGGACAAAGTTAGTCAAACAGCGCTTCAAACATTAAGGCAGCTCGGGAAGGGGAACAATTTAGAGAAATTTTTGGAATCTCACGGTTTATCAACATCTGCGGGAGGAGCTAAACAGCTGAAGGACGCGTTCGATAAGTTCTTATCGAAGGAGGAGGAAAACAATGGTAAGCTTAATTGATTAGAGTTCTTAACCTGAGAAATTTTAGCGAAAATTAAGTTCAAATTCCAGAGTGAATTGTCTAAACGAATTTTCCAAAGTTGGAAAAATTGTCCACATTAATTACATTTTTTGCAAATTTTGAAACAATTTTCATATATTCGTTATATTTATAAATATTTCTATCGTATATTTTAGAAATTTCGAAATGGGCCACGCAATTAGAAAACCTAAATTCCCTCCGGGACGAAAAAGAGTTGAGAAAGTGGTTGGAATCCCGTGGCGTCCCTGCAGCGAATGTTTCCGTCCCCGCGGTGCAGAAAGAGTTGGAAAAATATTTTCAAAATTATCAACCCGTTACTAAAATAAGAAATGATGTACGTCCAAAAATCGGCCAACCAACTTGGGGAAAGCGATCTGAACGAAGTGAAAAATCTGACAAGAAAAGTTTAGAAGTTTCTGAAGAAAAAGAAAAACCTAAAAATGTCACAATTTCAAAAATGAGACAACTTTTGGAAAGCGAAGATTTTTTGAAGATTGACACAATTGTTCCGGAAACGAAGAAAGTTAAAACTTGTCGAGATTTCGGACCTTGCATGAAATTGGAGGAGTTTAATGGGAGATCAATTTTGTTACAAGAGGACACTTTGGCAAATAAGGTTTGGGAAGAGTTTAAAGGTGTGTAATCAAAATTCAAAAATCAAAATTTTCATAAATTTTGGTGAAAGTCATAGTTTAAATTAATTTTGTGCCTCCAGGAATGAGCGCTCCCAAGCAGATCGCAGTTGTGGTTGGGATAACTGTGGTCACAGCCGCGTTGGGATTCGTAAGTTGGAGAATCCTTCTGCTCGGTGAGTTGAGAGTTGTATGCAAATTTTCCCATGAGTAATTAACTAAATAACTAGTTTATGCATTTAATTAATGCAGCCTTTCCTACCGCATTCCAAGTTAACCATTATTGGGGCGAGGTTTTGGCGCAGTGGTTCATCCAACGCCAAGAGTCAACTTTCCACCTGCTGCAACACACGGCTATGAATTCAAAACCTCTTTCGACCGCTTGGGCGAATCAGTACCTGCTCTGGAAGTATGTTTAATTAATTAAGACCTTAATTAACTATGAAAATTTAAAGTTTAATTGAGAAAAAGTTAATAAAATAATTGGACAATTTAAACTTTCACATTCTCAAGATTTAAACAACTTTAATTAACACTTTGTTGTTAAATATGTTACAATTTACATACATGTGATTCATGATTAATGGCTTAACTAACACGTTATCTGCTACTTGTTCGTATTTGATGAACGCGTGTTCCGTTTGGACTTGATCTTTTTCGAAGGCGTCGATTTTTTTGTGTCGGCGACATCGATGCATTTCTTGCTGGGTTTTGGAACGCGGTCGGACTTCCGAGGTGTTTTGGTGGTACAGGTTCCAGCACATCGATCAGCTGGTGATGGGGTCGGTGGAACCTTTTTCGTGGGTGTGGCGACAGGAGTGCACGATTTTCTTGGGCGTTTCTTTGAGGACGATGATTTTGACTTTGACTTTCTGGGCGACTTTCCCGAACAGCTACACGTTTTACAATGTTTTTTCTTGGAAGGTGGAGACGGCGACGAGGACGAAGAACTAGATGATGAGCAACGAGAAGCTGGACGTTTTTTCAACTTTTTCTTCTTCTTCTTGGAGGAAGAGGAGGGGCTTTTACAAGGTCGGCATTTTTTCAAGGCTTCGATAAATGGTTTAAATGCGGCTTGGACGGCTTTTTCGATCTGCTCTTGACTGCAGGTGCATGGTGGTGGAGGGGGTCCAGTCGGTGGGGGTGGTTTTGTTGGACAACATGGTGGTGATGTACCACAATCTGGTGGGTCCTGAGTTGGTGGTGGTGGTTCCGTAATGGGTGGTGGATCCGGTTCATCTGTAATTGGTGGGGGTGGGGGTGGATCGGGATCTTCCGTTGGTGGCGGGGGCGGAGTCACAGGACAAGGTTTAGCAGGGTCATCTTTGCCTTTGTCGGGGTCACAGTTGTCACCCATCGCTTTGGAATGCTCAGTTCCCATGATGCAAAAGTGATACAGGCGATTCGAGTTGAAGAATGCAACAATTATTTATTAGAAGATTAGATTAGAGACGATTAGATTAGCGTTTTTTATTCGTCAGACGGAATTGTTTTCAGAACAAGTGTTGAGAATGTTTTCCCTGGACAACCAAAAAATGTACAACCGGATAAAGGAAGCGAAACTAAAAATATATAGTTATAAATAGTTAAATAGATAGTTTTTAGAGCAACCCTCCAAAATTGAGATTTTTTTAAAGACAATGAATGTACAGATAGTTGATACGATTTTTTCATTGCATTTTCATGCAATTTTTTTCATTTGTGGGGTTTTTACTACGAAAGCAAGGTATACAAATATGTATATAAATATCTGTAGATTTTAGGCAGACCTCTTTTGACGTAAAATTGTATAATCAAAGTCATAATAATCGGTTTGTTCAAAAGTTCAGAACTGTGTATTTAGGAATAATTATTTGCGAATTGCACATTTCATACGTCGAAAAATTTAAACATTTATTGCAATAATCCATTTTTAAATTGACTTTGAATTCACTATTTTTTTTAATTTTCTAAAATATTGCATATGTAATTCACTAACAAATGTTTAAAATACTGGCTAAAAAATATTCAAAAGTTAATATACTGATTGAGTTGATTTCATTTTAACTTGCTACATTCATACACATTAAATAATACTACATTCATTCAGCTCTGATACACATCATGGAAATTTTCATCAAAAAATTAAATCGTCTCTCATACTTTCTCTCTCAAAATTAGGTCATCATCACAATTCTCATTCTCACTTCACTGGTGCTGTTGCGACTCATCCTGGAAAAATCATAGTTAAAAATTTTGGTTAAAACTGTTCCAATTAAAAACCTAGGACTTTAATTTACTTCCAGTTAAAAAAATCATGGCTGATTTCCTTTAATTTGTCCAAAATTCCCATAAAATCTTGGAAATATTCAGGGAACTTAAAGTCCTTGGTTTTACTAAACTTCAAAAAATTAAAAATGCAAAAATAAAATATAAAATTATCGTCACAATTCCTTTTTTCGTTGATGTTCCGGTTCGTGGGTGTAATTGTAATCGCAGTGGACGAAGGCACGCTCCACGACCCCGATGGATTCCAACTTTCCTTGCAAATCTTCCCCTAAATCGTGCGCGACCTGCAGCGTCATGTCCGGTGGGAGGACGATGTCCACTTCGACGATGATTTTCGCTCCGGCATGATAAGCTCTGGCCGACTCTACGTGGATGATCCGGTCATCATGCGTCATGGCGAGGTAGGTCACTCTCTTGAGGAAATTGGGACCCGCCGCTTTCCCCGAGATCAGTTGACCCTGGTCCAAAATAGTTTTCGTCCAGGATCGAAACATGACAAGGGCGACGAAAATAGCACCAACGGGGTCGAGAACGGGTGTGTCCAGTTTATCGGCGAGGATCCCCATGCACACTCCGACGCCGTTGAGGAGAATGTCGTTCCGGTGGTCTTGTGCGAGGACTGGAAATTAATAAGAAAATTATTGTTTACGGAGTTCGAAAATTGTGGGTACTCAAAATTTTGTAAATTTTAGTTAAGTAGTGTAATTGTACTATTATTTTGAACGTAGAATTTAAATGGATAAAATTTGGAAATAAACTGCCTAAAGTTTAGCAACTTTTCACAGAAAAAAATATCCAATTTGAAAAAACTGTAAACAAAAATCTCAAAAAGACACATCAAAAAATATTTAAAAAAATTTACTCCAATAAATTGAAAATTACTACTAAAAAATCAACTTTATTACCTTGCACACTTTGTTCCGGGATGAGTCGACAGTACAAAAATAAGCAGAATTTGATTAAAATTGCCGTCCCAATCAGTGAAATCGACACCACGCCTAAATCCGGTTTCTCATTATCCGAAATGATCCTTGACACGGAATTAATAATAATTTGGAGTGACACGGTAGACATAAGCGTCCCAAAAATGATAATCCCGACCGTTTCAAATCTCGACTTTCCGGTCGGGTATCGCATCTCGGAAGACGATTTGGACATACGATTCGCCGCTAGAATAATTCCACCGGATAACAAATCCATGAAAGCGTCCGCCATCGTGGCTATATTAAAATAAGTAAATGGCCATCTGAATATCCACTTTTTTGGTAATAATTTACCAAAAATTACCGAAAATCGCGAGTGATCCGGAATAAAGGGCCGCAATAAGTTGAAGAGATGCTAAGAGAACGTTGGCGAGGAGAGATCCGTAAATCGCGATGTCTTGTTTCCTCCGGGAGCTGATTTCCATGTCTGCGGAAGAGGATTCATCCTCCAACGGGGCTGTTAACATGTCGATAAGGGCGTTTTGTGCCGTGTAGAACTTTTGGACCTTTTTGACCTGTTTTGATATCTCGGTGGGGGCTTGTTTCAAGGAGATGAGGTGAAGAGGGTCGAAAATTGCGGGGGTCGAGGTGGAGAGGCCGATTTCGATGTCGTGAATGGAAGGAGGGTCTGCTGTCGAGGCGGATGGGCGACATCGCAGTCCGGCAGGATTTGGATCTGGGGCTGGTTCTGGACTAGTGGGGGAAAAATCAGAGTTTAATTGGGGAATTAATTTGAAACTTGGGAAATGTGCTTACTTGTCTGTGGGAGATGTCATGGTGCGAGTTAGTTAGACTGATAAGTAAACTATATGGATTTTGTATTTTATTAATTTTAACTTTTTAACATGGGTTTTTTTTCTGCACGATAATTTAACTGAAGTTAAGTTTTAGTTAAATCTTGGTTGCTGGAGTTAAGTTGAGAATTTAGTTACCTGAGGATTGTTATATTATGGCATAAGTAGTTCTTTGTATAGTTATAGTTTACTGTAGGTGTAGTAGTGGAATGGCTTAATTATGTTTTTCTATGACTCGTTAACATGATACCGACTCATGATAGTTATTATTGTTACTGAAGTTAGTCTCAAATTCAGGCTTAAATTACTATGAAGACGATTAGTTAAGTATTTATCTATGTACATAACTTGAGTTTTAGTAGATCAGTTAGTTATGGTGTAGATATGGATTTTATGTTGTGTTGATTATTTAAGAAGGTGTCATGTTTTGTTTGCATGGACCGACGCGACTACTGAAATGTGACTAAATATTAAATTATGTACGTGTCTGGAAAATGTTTAATTTAAATTGATGTTTTCCACAGAATTATCTGTATTAACGTCGGATATTTAAAAGTTGAATACGCAACGCTGGGCACGTCCGCTCGATTGTTTTGCAAATTTTGTTATTAGATGTTATCAGTCCAGATAAACCGTGGTTATCATTTAAAGTCTGATTATTATGTAAGTTCAAAGTTACACAGGATTTGCATATGGACTTGACAAACCGGGTCCGGGTATTATACTGAGGTTGAGTAAACTTTATGGTAGGAGAAAATCCGGATATTCGGTTTTACCCGGATTTTCACTTTCCATACACTCCAAAGTAACAGTAGTGCTGATGTAGAGCGTTGTTATTAGTTTGTTAATAGTTGATAGTGCGAATTTTTGCATGAAAATGTAGAATTTGAGCAAACTTATTTTTTTCGTAAATTTTTATTTATTGTTAATTAACAAAATTGATTAACAGTTCATCCAAGTATTTTATCTGAATTATCTAATTGTAAGTACATTGTTTTAGTGTTTTAATTTTTAACAAAGTTTCACAAAGAATTGCAAGTCTCGACTGAAAAACAAGTACATATGCATTTTGTACAAAAAATAATTATTACTTACATTACTAATCAGTCATTTAATGATGATAATCAAAACATAGAAAAACTTTATGAAATTAAGTTACTGGCTTATCCGCGGTGTTTCGGCAAAGTAGGCGTCCACAATTCCAGATTTTTCGACAAATCCGTTCAAAAACTTTTCCTGATTGGGATAAATTTCCCTCCGATTTACGTGAAAAAGATTAATCGCTTTGATCAAGTTGCTTTCTTGTAGGTCTAGCATATTAGTGGGACAATTTTTAAGGTCATAGAGACGGATTTCTTGGTAGTTTACGACCGTAGAGGTTGTGTCGATGTCATGTGAGGGTGGATTGCCGTTGAGAATTTGTTCGCCGGCGACGGAGGCTGGTTGTGGCATTGGCGATGAAATGGATCGCATCCCAATCACAAGCTTTGGTACTTGGCTGACTGCACATTTCGCGTAATATTGGGAAAGTTTTCGACTAAAAATTAGAAAGAAAATGTATTTAAAGGTATTTAAGAAATTATAAAATAGCATTTAGTAAATTCAGGTAAAGTCGAAGTGGAAGAAAAGAAACCAGGAAACTTTTTAAAAAAATTTAAACTCACCGATTGAAATTCTCGATCGTGGCAGACGAACTTTTAATTTCCACAGCGTCATAGTTATCCTGATTTATCTGAACCCCATCGATTTCTCCAATGCAGAAAAATCTGTAGATTACGTTCCTCCCGAGGACGATCGAATCGAACGACGTGATCGAAAAGAAATGGAAATTCTTCTCCAGTGTGGCACGCTTCATGTAAAAGTCTACCACAAAAAGATAATAATAACTTTCAAATTGAAAATTTCAAGTCACAAATCTTCACCTTTGCACATATAAGTTTCGAACATTGCTCCCTCATTGTCCGACGATGACGTCCCTTTCCAAACGGTCCAGTTATAATACTTAGTAGACTTTGGGTTATTATCAGCATCAGCATTGATAAGCCTAACTTTGATTGCATAACCATACTTATGCTTCTTATTGAAAAATTGTTCTCCCGTCCGTGCGTATCGGACTGCTTTGTCGGAACAGATGATTCTTGAAAGGAAAACAAATACAACTTCATTAATTCCTCAAAATAATTACGTACATACAAAAAATGCAAAACTTACGGAACAACTACAGCAGATTTATTTTCACATCGTAACAACTCCTTTTCCCTACTTTGAACCCATTTTTGCACAAGACGGGTCAAATCGTGGCCACATTTTGTGACTTGATTGGGCAGGGACCTTACGGTCATTTTGACGTCACATTTGTACGCGGAATAGCTGACCAAACCACCATCACATTTTTGAAATAGATTTTCACCAAAGGTCAAGATCGGGAGGGGAGTTTCCTTCAAAAGAGTGGTTAACCCTTTAGGTTCCCACGGACCGGAAATGGGGGAAGGAGGACAATTTTCCTGGTCGGGGGAAGTACACGGGATAAATCCGAAACCGTGGTGGATCCGATTACTTATTATTCCCGAGGTGGACATGGTCACCCAGTCACAGTCACAGTCACTACTTGTGGGAAACTAAAGTTAAGATTGTGAAAATTTTGTAAACAAAAACACTTTTTAGAACGAATTTAAGGTTACGATCGGAAAATCAAGGTGGTTGGTAGACAGAAATGGAACAAGATGAGACGAAACAAGTCTCATACAGATCAAGTGAATGAAACATAAACCAGACACGATTCGTGAGATTCGTGTTTGCAAAATTAGATGTGCAGATAATATTGCAATACTGAACAAGTATATGAAGTGCAACTAGTCGAAAGTTTTGCGTTACATGGACTTTTTGACGACTGGAATGTCCAGGTAGGATTTATGACTATGATGTAACGATGCAACAACGATTTATTGGAGGAATAACGTATTTACCATGAGTCAGATAAATCTCAGATGAATAATTGGATAAACACTAATCCTTATCGGCCAATGTGAGCAAGCACAAACAGGGACAAATAACCTCTACAAACTATGTATGCATAAAGCTAACAAATAAAGCCATAAAATTAATTAGACTGCTTATCAATAAGTAAATAAATATTCCAAACTTGTATCGTCGTTTGATATTTTATTAAATAAACGTTGTTGCTAGAATTAAAAACGTACTCAACTTTGGTATTTGACACGTTTTACAAATTCGTCATTCATTTACGCTCATAGAACTTATTTTTAGTCTTCTGGGTTGACATCACTTTTTGAAACGATGGGATTTATCATTTGAAAACGCATGTTCAACCTTCGCCTTGTTTTCGTACTTTGCTGCAAAAAATATAGCAAATTTTATGTTCATTGCAAAAAATGGCATATTTACATACTATAATTTAGTAACCTTCTTCTTGTACGCTTCCACAGCCTGAAATTCCGTCCTTGCTGACGCCACCCGGACCCACTGGGGAACGCTTGGGACGAGATAGTTCACAGCGAGGCGTCCCGCGATCAGAATATGTTCCACGATAATTAGAGCAAGATAAAATCGATCCGAAGTCCAACCCGCTCGCTGTGCGGATTGTTTTAAACCTGCGGATGACACCAGGAGGGCGATGTTCGTCATCACAGCGAGATAACCGATAAGCTCAAAAGCGATCTGAAGAGAAGCAATATTCAAGATTTAAAAACAGTGAACGGTTGTTTTGAGAGAAAAGGAAGTTTTTAAAAAAATTGCTTTTGTCTAGAATTTGCCAGTTCAATGAGTTTGCTAAAAAATTATTTCGAAGTACTTGAATGAATACATTTATGAACTTTGCAAATTACGTACGTAATGTGAAATATTTTGAAAGAATTGTATTAGACTTTACTCATTAACTTTACGAATTTTACATATTTTTTTGGTAGTATATAACCCACAAATGAATGATATACCTGCCAGGATCCTATGTCTTTTACACGCTTTGGAACCGGGCGTTGAAATACGGCACACAACTTATAAATGTTGGCGTACATGAGGAAAACGTTGGCAGCGACAGCGATGGCGGAAGCTTGGGGGAACAGTGGCGAAAATAAAAACACGTATCCGAATTGGAGAAATAGTTGAGAATAGTCGTCGTAACATCCCTGTAAAATGTCAAAGGTCAAGGTCAAGAAAGTGGGACAATTTTCCTCACATTTCGTTCACTAAATAAGTTAATATGACCTTGTAGGGATCCATGTCACCCTCAAAAGTACTCATTTCTATGCGTGGGTCACTCTCGAGGAGTGGGACCAATCCCAAAGCGGCTGGATCGTGGTCTTGGTGGTGGAGATGGGAGATCCAGTTGGCGTTGTGACGCAACGACGGCGATCTGTGGTGCTGTTGACGTGACCTCCGTTTGCCAGCGAGAGTTTGATAGACGACGTCCGGAATTGTTGAGCCCGTGGAAGGCGAGGTCGGATTCGTTGAATTGCTGTGTCGATGGAGGAAAGTGGTCAACTGAATTTACAAAACAGATTTTTATTAGGTTTGAAATTTTTGGAGGTGATTTGAACAATTTGCTGCATTTGGGTAAAATTTAAAAAATTAAATATACTTGTTATGTCCGAATTTACTTGGAAGTTTTCTTAATAAAAATTTATAGTTCGTTCCGCTAATTAAAAAAACTGGAATTATTAATTCAAACGGTTTAAACTTTAAATTTAAAGTAACAAATTTATAATTTTCTTAAAATCGTACATGAATGTACGATTTTGGTTGAAAATTTAATAATAACTAACCTTCTTGGTCGTACTGCGCCAAAGTAATGGTATCACGATTTCCTGCACGGCTAGAATCAAGTGCATTACAGAGATCATGACGATTAATTGCTATCAAAAAGACCAAAAAACATGGATAAGAAATTTAAATAAAACTTAACAAAACTTTGAAATGTAATCCAGTCCCCTCACCTGCTTCAACAGTTCCAAATTCTTAAGAACAAACCCAATGTACAAGAACGACATAAAATTGTTCACGCTTTCAAATGCAATCAACTTTGCGACGTGGTGTCGATCAAATTGGGTTTGTGTTCTGTGGTTCTCTGCCAGAAAAATGGTTTCCTTATTTTTCCTTAGGTCTTGGAAAATGCAAAAAGAAATTACAAGAGCTAACCCCACTCGGTCAACTCGTCAGCTAGCATTCGATAGCAGTAGGTCATCGCAGCGACAGAAATGGCATATCCGATCGATCCCAAGAACTTGAACACGAGTCCGAGCAGAGACCCAGCATAGCGTATTTTGTACGGGGCGAGAATCTGTTCTGCCATGAAATAGCAAAGCATGACGCGATATGCACCCCACATGGAGACAATGACGAGTGGAAAGGAAACCAGCCACACTTTTATGTGCGTTTTGTACCCAGGGTAGCGTGGTTGATACTGTCCGGTAACGGGGTCAAGCGCCATGCGACCTCTACAAAAGAATAGAAATTAACTGCTGAACAAGATAACCACCTGATAGTCAGATCTGTAATTTTCTCACCTGTATCCTTGCCTAGGCTGTTCCCATATTGTCATCCTCAATGTCCCCCAACAATATGCCAGTTCGGAACACTTTCTCTTCCAGAACTTCAAAAAGTACGTGATAAAAACCAAATTCATTCCAGAAACGAGGTAAATTTCCACACGAGGGGACAACATCCAGTCCGGGATTATAGCAAAGAGTAAAGTAGCCAATCCAGGTAGTGAAAGGAGGTACGTGTAGCATCCCATAAACGTGAAATAGAGGGCGATAGCTTCACCAAAATAGCTAGAATAAAAAACGTCATGACATAATCTGGGGGCTGATAGTGCATGGTTTGACCCATTTTTGTCAATTTACCTTCTCAACGCCTCGAACGGTTCATTCGCAAAGAAAGCTTCTACCCAATTCGTTTCTAGCAGTTTGTCCAGCCCCTTTTCATCGTGTAACGGATGATACCCCGATATGAGACCAGCTTCAACGTAAAGTTGGAAAATAGACTGACCCGAATGCAATTTAAGGTTGGGATAGCCAGGAATGTGACCCTCGCCCGGAAGTGCGCCGATACTTTGAATCTCGGCCAACACAATGAGCTCTTTCTCTGCGGGGGAGATGAGCGTTTCAAGTAAAATGTCGTTGACTAGGAAAGCGTCGAGGTCACGGACATGGAATTCGCGGAGGAGGCCGCGATCGTCGACTTTCTTGAGGGAAAATTGTTCGGCGAGTTCGAGAAATCGGGGCGTGGTGGCCGTCAGGTGGAGGACGATCTGTGCGAAAGAAATGAAAATTAGCTAATTTAACTTCCCAATAAATCTACTACCCACCTCTTCCCCTGCTCCCGAGAAGGGTTCACACCGCACCAGGAGTTCCGCCCCACCTGAATTTTTTGACGCCATGAGCTTCTTTGCGAGAAAAGTGACAGCATCCGGAGAAATGTGATGATTTAGCCGAATGACGAGATTCGTCGGGGGAAAATATTGAGATGTCTTGTCATCATCATCCTCACCCGGAAGTTGTTCTTCTGACACGAGCAGGTTGATTTGTTCGCGAATGTTAATCAAATCTACTGCATCTGGGTCGATAGCGTCATCCTCGTCGATATCCAAGTATCCCAGACTAGACTCATTGGAAGATTCGGTGTCAAATTCGATATCGAGTTCCGACGGAGATGGTGTAACGTTTCTGAAAGAATTCATTTTGAAATTTGTAAATAAGAATATGTTTATCGCCATTTGGAGTAATTAAAATAAGGAGCTTACATAATTGTAATCGAGGTAAATTTCGCCACAACAACAAGACGAAGAAATGACGATAACGATTGTTTTCATCGTGGGGATCGTAAATAGCAGTGACGAATTTTGTAAATTGTTATGTAGTTTTCGAACCTATTGTCACTAAATTGACCAATATCACGGTAAAAGAGGATGAATGGATGCACATAAATATTTGTTTAACTACAAAACGTCAGGTACTAATTTCCTCACCTGTTAGTTAACTGACTGAGGATGAGCACAATGTAATCTTATCTCTAAAACGTGATTTATGTAAATATACTCGAATGTATGTATGTATCCGACCCAAATAAATAACTGAAACTGGAAAGTCAAGTAATGTAAATCTTGGTTCTTATTTGTCCTTCTCACCTGTTAAACGAAATATTAAAGTGTTTTTGTACCACTCTTGCGTCTCATCTTATTCATCTTCGTTAAGTCAAATCGAGTTCATTTCAGTTTATAACTGTTATAAAAAATTTACATAACAATGTCCTCATCATCGTCTTTTGTATCAACATCGCACCCTGGGATCAATACCAGTCCACACCCACCACTGGTGGGACCGGATGTGAAGGTGTTTCGGTTTTCTGGCATAAAATTTAATGATTTTTTCCATAATTTTGAAAATGTCTTTGTAATTTTCAGAAGAGGATGAAATACAAAACCTTCCCCCATCCGGAAAACCCTAATAAAAGTACCAAATTACATTATGACGGGGATGAAAGTGATCTGGATTTTGATGACAGTGATGACGACGACGAGGACAACGACTCGTTCGGTAACAAAAGTCGACACCGTCTGGAAGTCTCCAGTTTACCAGATTTGCTTCTAGCGTCGTCTACTACATCGACATACTCAGCGACACAAGAAGGTGTCGAAAGGTCACCAATTCGGAAGAGAAAAAAATTTAAGAGGAGGAAACATCGCAGATCTGAAAGTGAATTGGTTACAAGAGAAAGTTCAAAATTGTGGGGGTTATCATCATCTCCGATAAGTCCTGCCCCGTTATCAATAGTAGTGAAATGTGGACGCGGAGGTGGCGCGTCGTTCGTGGCGTCAACACCAGTGGTTGAATTGGTGGAAATTCCACCACTCAGGGCGCAGTGGGATTTGGGAAATTCGATTGGTAAGTAGAAAATAAATTTCTGCTAGAAATTCTATTTAGAAATCATTCAGATCAATTTTCATAATGTTGCCAATTTTGTAAATTTCAACAATTTGCTTTAACAGGGCGTCGTCGCGGCGTTTGTGGCTGTGGGAAAATAAACGCTTCGCAAAATTACCTTTTACCTCCCAGCATGTCATCTCTAGACACATCCTACCTCGATGTCGCCCTTTTCACCCTTTTCTACTTCAGCGACGTGTTCGACACGTGGATTCTGGACGAAAAAGCAGCCAAGGGATTTCCCACCGCTGAGGCGAAAGAGGTCCGTGCTCTGCTCCGAAAAGAGATCTTATTCTCCCTCAGAACGTCCTACTTTTGTCCGTCGGTATCGGTTGGAAGGTTGTTCAACTCTTTGTTCCCTCTAGAACAGCCATACACGATGGGTAAGCACTAAACCAGTTATCAAACTTATACACACCGAAGGGGAATGCCTGTTTAACACAACACCCTCAAACTTACAGAGTTTGGCCGATTTTTGCGTTATTTTCTCGACAAAATTCTCACCCTACCGGAAACGACGCATTACACGAATGGAACATCGAAACTTGTCCATATTCTAAAAGTGAGGAAGATGACAACCTCCACGTCCACGAAGGGAACGTGTCAGTTGGTCGGATTTTTAAAAAGTGCCCCACAAGAATCGACGACCCCAAAATCTGTGCAAACTCTATTTGAAGAGAGCTTATCCGACTTAAAATTACTCTCCCTACCACAACCTGGCCTCTTCTTATCGATAGATCAGCCCCTCAACACCCCGCACGCGGTTATCATCCCCAACCTTCAGCTCGATCTTGGCAAGACGCTCATCCAACTGTCCACAGACGACAACGATGAGACGGAATCCGCCGATTTTTACGATGAAGAAGACAAAATTGGATTGACAAAGAATGTGACGAAAAACAGTGATGACGAAGAGTCAACATTTTTCTGTAAATGGCTCCGATGCCTGGGGAAGATTTGTTACGAATATTTACAAAATTTGGTCCATATTTTCCCCACTTTTGACGGCGTGGAAGACTCATTTTATGCCACGGAACGCGACTCGATTGAAGATTCGTGGTCAGTTGCTTCTCCACGGGGGGTTTTCTCTCCATCACGGATAAAAACTGGCAGTGACGACGACGGGCTAACTTCTGACCCATATCTGAAGAGGAAAAGGAACCGGGGGAAACTCGTCATAGGTTTGGATCTGATGGCAGTTATCTGTTTAGAGGAAGAATCGGTAACTACTTATCAAAATCGATACACTGCTTTCGTACGATGCGGTCAGAATCCGAGGAGAGGTTGGGCACCATGGGTTCACTTCACACCGTGCGATCAGGGAGCTCCGCTGGTAAATTTTAGTAATTTTTTTGAAGATAATAAGGGATTTTTACTAAAATTGGAATTTTTTATCAACTCACGAACCAATCATCGCATTGCTTCCGAAATTCTGACAAGTTGTACCGAATTTTTTTAGGTCAGACGAGTTGGCGATATCCCGAAATGGTTGCATCGCTTGGAGAAAAATCCGAAAAGTTTGAAATCTTCCTGGAATCTGATCCCATCCGATGTGCAGAGTATGCTCACGTCGTCCACGTTTTTCATCTACACGGCTAAATCAGATCACGAGAGTCAAAATACGTTATTTTCCTATGTAAATGAGTGCAGTTAATTGTTGATTAAAGAATAAAGTTTGTTAAAATTGCAAAAGAAGAAATTTCTGTATTGCGGTACGAATTTACTACATATGTCGGAATTTTTATGAGATATTGACAGAATTAGGATGATATTTGAAGTTACAACACCAAATGGGGGAGATTATCGGCTTGGAGAGGAAAAATGGCATTTTCCTTCAGCGTCTTCATCTTTCATAGGTCCCTTTCCAGTAAGCGGAGGAGGTTATTGCTACTTATTCGACGACGGGTTGGGCTCCGGATTGTCGGGGAGTTGGAGAGCGGTGAAGCCGTACTTGAAGTCGGGAGGAACCATGCCGAAACCATAGTTAACGTTTTCGTTTTCATCCACCTTCTTACGGCCCCAGTTCGAGAGGACTGCGGGGGAATAGGTGGAACCCTTGCAGACTGAAAGATATACATACGAAATATGTAAATAAGAATTCGTTAAGTGCTAAAGTTGTAAAAAGTGTGGACCTATGGGAAGTCGTTAAATGTCTAAAATTTATAGCGTTTTGTACTCAGTACAATGATATATTTTATTATTACGTTTCTGAAATCGTAAGAAAATTATTTTCAAAATGTTGTCACGTTTTCTCACCCGTTTTAGCTCCTACTTTAAGACCTTCATCCTCAGCCATCTTGAGCAATTTTCCTCTCGTGATGTTTGGTCGTTTAACCCTTGTGTTGGGGACACGTGGGAGGAAAGCTTCGCGTCTCTGGAAGGAGGAAATTGTTTAGATAATTCTGGTAAAAAAATATATTCGAAATGTTATTACCATGTTTTCTCACCCGTTTTAACTCCTCCTTTAACGCCTTCATCCTCAGCCATTTTGCCGCCTGGAAAAAAATATTTTAGGATTTGTTTCTGTAAATAATAACAATGAGTTTTATTTTTCTTAGTCGCCCACCGTAATTTTGAGGTCAGGAGGCAAATTCTGGAAAATTAGTAATGGCGTGCCCAACTCCAACTCGTAGATGAAGGGATAATTCATATCATAACCGCAAAAGAATCCTCGCTGTTTCGAACTCTCGCCACGTTTTTCGATAAGCTGCTCTCTCAGAAATAAAAGCTCCTCCCAATTGTCCGGCTTCCTCGTGTGAACAGCTTCCGTTGTCCTAATTTTTCCATACTTTATTTTACTTGAACAACTTTGAAATTACTAAAAATGCCATAAACTCACCTGAAAACCAAATCTCTCTCCGCCTGGCTTGGGTCGACCTCAACTTTCCAGCTCTTTTTCATATATCTGATCAATTTGCGGGCCATTTTTTCCGTCCGGAGAGCCTCCAAAACTTCCGGGGGTTCAACGCAAGGCATCGAAAAAGCCAATTTGCTACTCCTCTTGCGAAGTTCTTCCTTCTCCTTCTTTGTCAGTGGCTTTGTCTGGGGTGCTACGACAAGATAAAATGCCATTATGCCAGGGTCATTAATTAAAATCATGTCAACCTATACCTAGTCGAGGAGGAGCTTTGTACTTTGAATCTCTCACAATTTTTGGATCCCTGTCCGGAATACATTTTTCTGTCAAAGGTTTCATAACCTTTTGGAGTTGGAGATCCCTGCTGGCCGCTTTCGAACCGTGTCGTCGGTGTCCTTTCTTACTCCCTCCGGAGCATTGCCTAGGCGGCGTGGCTCGAGAAGTCTTGGCGACTTGAGGGTTCTCGCCGTCTGGGTCTGGTCTGCCAGATTTTCTGCGAATTTCAGTGGCATTGGGTGTGACAGTGGGGGGAGGGGGAAGAGCAGAGGGGACATTATTAGGCGTGATGGCGGCGGTTTGTGGGGGTGGTGGTTCCTCTGGTCGCGGAGGCAGCAAAACTTTAACGGGCGTGGATTCGTCCCCCATTTGTGAGCGATTTTGTTCCTAGAAAGGCAAAATTTATGTTTAAAATACGTATGAATTTGTGAATTTGTCGATCAAATAAAAAAGTTTAATTAAGGGTCTGGGGGAAGTTGCTTAGAAATCACGTCAACTTTGACGATAAAATTCAGCAATGCACAAGAGGGCAGATTTTTTAAATTATGTTTAATGCGTTAATCATATCTTTAGATTTTACTTGAGTTTTTTTTGACGATCTGCCCTCTTGTGCAGTGGAGATATTTGGTCGTAAAGTGAGGACAAATTGGCTTAAAATTGCCAAATTAATGGCAGGAATTGCATTTTGAGTATCCATGGAACAAAAGAAACAACTTTTTTCAAAAACTTGAGGGACTTGAGGGAAACTTTTTCAAAAGCAGTGACAAAACCAAAGCTTTTGAACGTGAAATGAAATGAAATGTCCCATAGAAACGGTGTCAATTAATTGTGGTCGTAACCTAACAGAGCGATAATAATCTTGGGGCCCTGGCAATTATTGTTGCTAACATAAAATCAAGTAAATCTTCCCCCGGGCCCTTAAACAAAGTTCGCTTATTTTCAAGTTGAAATTTTCAACCAAAATATTTTGCACAATTTTCTAGTAGCTATAGGAATTTCTGTCATTCATTTAAAACTGTCAACTCTGACCCGTCGACATCCACGATTGCTTGACATTTAGTATCTAGGTAACTCTTGGCTCTTTTAACGGTTGCGACAAATGGTGGAGTTACAAATAAAATAATTAATTTTTAAATCGTTGGTACACGTCCCCTGGGCCTGTGTACCAACGACTTTGACCTTTAATAACTTTTGAAAGGGCAGACATAGAGACTTAATTCTTAAAGATGAAATCATCGTAATTTTTAGCTTGATTTTTTAAGCAAAAAATCTCGAGGCTACTATTTCGAGAATTAAATTTGAAATCTGCAACGTGCAGCCTTTATTTAGCCCGAGTCATGGTCAGTGTCAGCTTCTAAATTTTAGTCAGACGACCTGCACCAACTACTATTCGTAATCGGCAAAAATGTTCCCATAATCCAGCATGCAAAATTTCAGCTCCTTGACCAATTTTAAAACCAGTACGGGTCCCAGTCTTCTGGGCTGGGCCCACAAAAATATTCATTTTCATATTCTTTAGTCTGATGTGCCCTTACCCATGATACAGAATTTCATTTTTATTCTACCAATATAAAAAGCAATGTGGGTCACCTTGTTAAATCTCTGTGGAAAAAATCTTAATATTTACTTCATATTTTTCAATCTGGTCTACCCCCGCGGGGTCATGCCAAATTTCAGTCTTCTACGAGTGTCTGGAGCGAATTTCATCTTTTTAATACAATTTTTAAAAATCGATATGGGTCACCCCCTTAAAGGTCCCTCCACATAAAAATGTTTTAATTCATATTTTTTCATCAGGGACCATTAGCAATCTCTGCACTAATTTCAGCTCGATTGGATAATTTTCAACAATCGGTATGGTATCGGGTCCCTCCAGTCGAAAATTTTCCCAATTTAAATTCATATTCTTCAATTAGACACCATTAGCAATCTCAATGCCAATTTTCAGATTTTGAAATACTCCACCCACCCAGATGACCACCACCGGTCAACCACTAAATCGATTTCGCCCATCTTCAAATTTAACTCCTCATTTTCCACATACTACACATATACCAAATTTAAAGTCGCTAGGACGAGTTTAACGAAAGTTATCGTAAAATGATCGAACGGACAGACGGACGGACATGACGGTTCCATAAGCGCTTTGACTGAAAATTACATTTCCAACTGTAACCAATGGCATATTTTCAACAATTTTTAGTTTTCTAAAAATGAAAATTTATTTTGTAACTCGGCCATTTGTCGTAACCTTATAGATTGATAAAGTGTCAAATAATCTTGGTCGACATCCATCCACGATTGCATGACTTGGTGTCCTCGTCCTCCGTGAAAAATTAAAATATCGCCAAATTATCGCTACATATTTTAATTAGGTAAATTAAAATTAATTCAAGGGAGCCGTGTTCGATTCCCGGCTGGGTAACAATTTTTGGCATTATTCGGGATTTACGTATTTGATTTCTAAATAAAATTAATTTGATTTAATTCTCAGTCTCATCTCATCCGGACGCAAACCCGGGGCTGCGAGGGAAGGAAACCGCTCTCACTCAACCCATTCAACAACTTGTCACATCGAGCGAGGTTTATATTATTTTTTGTTTTTGTTCGTTTTTAATTAATTAATTAATTACATATTGTTAAAAATAATACATAGCGTTGAATAGTGTTGAGCGTGATTAAATTTAACTTATCATTGTTGACAGTAAGAATGCCTCCTAAGAAACGACCTGCCCGCGGGGCGAACAAGCAGGACACGCCACTTGTTGGGAACAAGTCTGCAGTTCGGCAAGTTAAGTTAAAATTGCCAGTGGCAATGCGTGCTGGTGTAACCGCCCCGACGACAAGTCCACATGACTTGAGCAATTCTTCAGAAGAGCCCGGTGGAAGGTCAGCGTCTCAGGAGAGACCACCTTCTAGAGCGGAAACCGTCGTTGCTCCAATTCTGAGGGCAAGTTCTCGTTCGCCGACGAGGTGAGTTAAAATTTAATTAATAAATTAAGTGCAATTTAGTATAAAGAAGATTGATCCATAAATTACAAAATATTACAGGCGACAACACAACCTAATTTCGTCCACCCCTTCCACCGCTGCGGCGGCACGGAGAACAGACAATTTGGGCACTCGAGTCTCTTTCATGGGAGCGAACGTGTCCCCGATTCGAAATCGAGCCCTTTTCGAACCAGCGGCGTCGCCATCTTCGACCCGGTCGTCGCCAGTACGGTCACCTCGCGCTCCCCCAAACAATACAACAGAAAGTGCCAGTCGCAGACTGGCAAAGAGAAAAAAATCGGTATGAAAAGATAATATCTATCACCTACTTACTACGTGTCATTTTACTGGGAACATTTCCGCCACTAAATTGTTTTTATGTTCCCACCAGTCCGTCCTGCCTTCGTCCGTTTTCAAACGACGGTATCGTCCCCCGGAAACAGCCCTCCGCGAGATTGAATACTACCAAAGAATGACGAGCACCCTCATCCCAAAAGCTCCGTTTGCCCGTCTAGTTCGCGAAATTACGGTATCTTTAACTGGCTGTGCCACTCTCCGCTATAAATCAACGGCACTGGAGGCCCTTCACGAGGCGGCGGAAGCTTACATCGTGGGCTTTTTCGAAGACGCTTTTCTCCTCGCCATACACGCCAAGAGGGTCACTCTTCAGCCGAAGGATCTCGCTTTAGCGTACCGGATTCGAGGCGATAATAAGGCAGCGTACAATTGAGATTTTTTCTACATTTAACTTTTAACTGCCGTGGTGTGAATAGATATATTTAAAGAGGACAAGTTGATATTCGGGTCAAATTGCCATCACATGCTATTGAAATTTAATATTTTTTATGGAATACCAATTAATACTTTTGTAGGCTAGAGGGCCAGGGCACTAATTTTTATGAGTGTTTAAAGCAATGTAAAGTCCATGTAGTACTAAGCGATTATATTAAAGAGCGTTTTTGTTGACCAATGTGTTCTCAAGTTAATCTTCTTGTAATTATGCCCTTAAAAATATTCCTTCGTGAATTTCTAATATTTTGATGACATCACACCAGATATTTGACTCTATATGAAAGTTTATGACATTAAAGGATTTATAAATAAGTAATTTTACAAAGATTTTACAAAGAATTTTATGTTCAATTTAAAATAATACATATTTTTCACTAAAACCTTGTGGATTTAGGTATTTTTTGTAAAATATATGCAATATTGTGTACTAATGATCTTGTAATTCCATTAAAAATGAGGTAAAGATAAATAATTGTTGTGTTGCACTGCCACACTTACTTACTTATCAGTCATTAGTGTCAAATCATGTCATGTATTGCTATTGTTATTTTGTTGTACGTACTTAGTTAAGAGTTGTCCTTTTTTAATAAATATGTACTTACTTTCTTAAAGTGGAAAAGCGAGAAAGAAAGAAATCAATAAAAATACAATTGATTGATTGGATAGCAGAGCAGCCATAAAATTCTCAAGTGTTGGTTAGTCACGCAATCCGGGGACAAGGACAAGTTGGAGTGAATTTTATTTTCACCTCGGAGACAGATATGGAGACACTAACACCCGGGTATCTATTGTAAAGTCGGTTAGTTAGGCATCGCATTTGTAGTGGCGAGAATTCACAGGTGGATTGGATGGGTGTCTCGATAGAAATTGAGGGGTGGGACCCTGCCCAAAAGTATTTTGGGGGTGATCTCATCACAGGAAGCGTCATTATTGAGAACAAGTCACCAAACAGCAAAATTTTGGGACAAGGTAAAAAATTTTGGGGGAAAATTTCCCATTTTTTTCAAATTTCATGCAATTTTTATTACATGAATTTTTTGTGTGTGCAGATTTGACCATAAAATTTACCGGCCGGGCAGAGTCGCATTGGAAAGAGCAACGGAAGAATGTGGGTCATTATCGGCAATATTTGGTGACCACTTGTGACAGCGAGGTCTACTTTGAGGAGAGGATAACCTTGCAAAACAAAGGTAGTTAAGATAGGGTAAAGTAGTGATTATCATTGTAACAATATTGTGTTATCTGAGTAGAGGGAGGCGTGGATAACCGCGAGATAAGGCCGGGAAGGTCAGAATATGGATTCAGTTTCCGATTTCCTGTCGGTTTACCACAATCCTTTAAGAGTGACCATGGGAAGGTGGAGTACTGGGCGGAAGTAGCTTATCCGAAATCGTGGGCGCCCGATCATCGGATAAGACTCGACCTGAATGTTAGCATTATGCAAAAAAAGCATTTACAGATAATCCAGTTAATAAATTTGACTAAATTCTTCTAGATCGGTGCCGTTTTGGATTTGAACATGGTCCCACGAGATTGGGCGCGTCCTGGGAAGTTCAATATGTCGAAAACGTTTTGGTGGGGGTGGGGAACCGTGGATGCAGTTTTGTCACTCCCGAGCCGGATTTTTGTTCCCTTGGACGACATCAATTTCTGTTTGGAGGTTGTAAATCATAGTCACTGCTATTTGAAGAAAATTAGAGTCTACTTTTGCCAGGTGAGTGTTGTGACTACTTGTGACCTTGGACAATCGGATGTCACCGTAATCAATAATATGTAATTTATTCTGAGTCATATACATAAATGTAGGTGACCACATATCACTCGAAAGGTTCCGAACCGTTCAAAGAGGGGGCACGCCTCTCCAAAATAAAATGTAAACCTGTCCATCCACGAAATTCTGCGACAATCGATGGTTCAATTTCCGTACCGGAAGTCCCTCCCACCCAACTGGGTGGATGCGCCTTAGTTCAGCCGCAGTACGGAATTATGGTAATTTATTGGTAATTTAATAAGATATTTAAGAGGAGGTCAAAAGTCAGCTTCATATCCAGATTAAAGTGATTGCCACCACATTTGGGAAAATTATCAAGTCGGCCGTTCTCGAAGGACGTGTTCCCGTCCTCATCGGAACTGTACCGATAGGAAGGAGTGTACCTGCCCCAGCGTCCGCATCATTCGCGTCGTCGACTAGCAGCAGTGGTTTGGCGACAAACCGACCAGCCACAGTGTTACGACAAACGATACAATTTTCGGAGCGGAGAGTCGTTCTCACGCCTCCGGGAGACGGTCAAGATGACGATGAGGACGATCGCTTCACTAATTTGGCTGGGGATTGAAATTTGCACGCTAGTATGAGTTAACTCGGATAATTAAGTGATAACAATTAATCATAACGAAATTATTTGGAGATGTGGATAATTCATATTTAGTTGTTTGTCAATATTTTGTAAATATTTTCTAATTTTGGTTTCTGAAAACGAGACGTTTGACGTATGCATGTATGTATGTAGTTGAAAATTTAGTGGCGTTTGAGTTATTTATTGATGAAATTATCTGCTCTTGGTCGGAGTAATTTTGATAATTGGCCTTAATTGATTGGAAAATTGTCAATTTTCTGGAGAAATTTATAATGAAATGACAGATTGACATATTGGAGACTTTATCTAATTAAGTTTATTTCTCGGGAACCTTTTATTCTAATTTTCGGAAACGTAAATACATTTTTCGTGTGACATTAATTTGATTGAAGAAACATTTTTGTAATGAGGATTGACAGTGACACGACTCAATTTCATACATATCTATTCACGTTGTGCGATTTTAATCAGTTGCTTTTATTGCATTGGAGTTTCATAATATACATATTTCTAATCTGGCTAGAAAATGTCATTTAATGCCAAATTTGGACGAATCATGAATTTCAGAATTTATGCAGCAATCATTATAACTAAATATAACGTTGGATATGTCATAAATTCGTGATTATATCAGTACAAAGGACCTATTTTTAACATCACTTAAATATGATTGGAAATTAGCATAATTTATTATTTTATTTTATTATTTGCAAACACTTCGTAAATGTTTTCTGTAATCCAGTAATTAGAGATTTTGCCTGCTATTATGTAATAATACAACCAGTAAACTTGCATTTTCTCAAGTCAGATTTTTGCACATGTAAAAATAATTTGGAAATAATACATTAAGTACGTACTTCAAATTACACATTGAGAAGGAGTGAAACTCAATACAGATTTAATTACATTCTGTCTGTAAAAATGTGTAAAATGATCATGGTATTTTATTTATAGCAAAGTCTTTACATGTATGTAACTCGAGAGCATATATATTTTTATTGCTTTCATATACTTATTTTTAAGACTGTATTTATCCAGTCAAGTCCCACTTAACATTTTTTATTGGCTAAATAACACTAGAAAAACTATTTAATACTGACAATGGTCAAGTAAAGTTGTTTACTGTATGCTATAATTTCGTTATCAGAACATAATTGCTTAACTAAATTGCTCTATTGTTAATTGTAATTTTTCACCCATTAAAAAACCAATTAGTGATTAAATCCAGTGTATGAAATGAATACATATTTTTCATGCATTACATATTCATCTATCGTATGTACATATTTAATGATGCGTTGAATGTCTGGATGGAATCTTATGAACTGTTTACGATTTACCACTTTTGAATAAAAATTCATTACCTCTGTCGTTTTTGGAATAATTTTGAATATAAAGTTACGTGAGTGCGCCTATTAACAACATTATTATTGATCGTATATAGAGACAAACATACATAGATCTCGAAACTTATAAACGTTTTCCGTGACGTTGCACGCGTCGTCATTTTGTGGAGAAAGCAAATTGCTTCATTTTAGTTGTCCTTAATACAGATAGGACAATGTTCGTCCAGAACACGACCACCTGGTTCCACTTTCATGATATGATTTGATGCAATGTGACCTGCACTTGTTGTTGAGAAATTAATGGGTCTTATGTATCTCGTCCTAGTTAGCAAGTTGGCTTCCCTGCCCCTGTCGGAAATAATGGGCAAATCAAATCAAACGGTGAACCATATTTCACCGTTGATTGCAATATCGCCATGTACAGATATAGACATTCAGTGGTGCATGATTTTAGATATATGGGTCAAGGTTGAATCAAATCATGATAATAAGTCCGGTTGTATTTTTAAAAGAAGAATGCAAAAAATACGGCTTGAAGTTTGCGTATGGATATATATTTAAAATTGGTAAGAGTGTACATTTTATGAGAAATTCGGCTTTAAAAGTCGATAAACCAAAATTGTTACTTGGTTTAAAATGTATTAGATACAAATATAGATTGGATATCTTCTTAGTAATTATTATTGAAACTAATTAATTTTTAATGTCAGTAACAGCTTATCAGTAGTATAAGTACTAATAAAATGTTGAGAACTAATTACTTGACATTTTCTAGTAGAATTTTAATTTTGTATTGTGTGTATCGAAATTAGTATAATTGTTATCAATATAATTTACATTCTGTGTTTGAAAGATACTGACAATAAGTGGGTGCGATTACAAATATAATTCCTAATTCCTGGTTGAGAGACTTACATAAATTTTATGACATGATGGATTGAATTGTCATATTTCGACGTCGTTAGTAAAACTCCTCAACTTGGAATTCATCTTCTTCTGTACAATTAATTATACAATATGAACCATAAATTATGGTCCATAATTTCCAGGATTTATTATGCCCAATATATTACTTAATTACTCTTTGTCTGGAAGTCTGTCTACAAAAATATGTAATAAAATATTCAATACTCAATTGAACAACCAGCATCTCATTTTTCTTCTGATTAGAAAACTAAATATTTAATTGCTTACAGACGGCATTACGTTTACTTTTAGTTGTGTGCATTGAACACGTTTTTTTTAATTTCATACAACCAGACATGCCTGAGTTTTTTAGTAGGCTGCAGTGCATCTGTAAATTGGACCACATTTTTTATGGGTATCAATAAAAAGTTACATACATTATTGTTTTTCAAGGATTAACTAAATTTTTTGTTATCTAAAATCGTTGTTTGTTAAATTCTGTTTTTCTGAACTTATCAAAATCCCAAACTCCAGAAAATATGTAGGTAATAAATAAATGCAGTGTTAAAAGGTGAATATGCGTCGTCATAAAATATCTGATTAAATCCGGTTCGTTTTGTTTAGTGATGATGCTCTAATTCTAAGAAGCAATTGTTCGTGTAGTTCCACATCACTCTAAACAACGTGGTAACAAAATTTAAACCGAAAGAATATGCAAATTCAATAGTTCACAAAAATTAATTGCTTATTACGCTGGAACAAATTTCTCTTTGGAGAATATGAAATAATTTTGTGTACAATTCTTGTTACCGTTCGATAAAAAATTGACACTGATGCGTCACATTTCGAAAATTTGGTTACAATATTATTTAGAGTGATACAATCTGAATCGCGTCCAGATTGAGACAGATTTTCTGGTCAGACTTTGGTTTGGTTGAGTTGGCTCTGCTGACAGTCTCTGGTTGAGTCTGGTTGAGGGAAAAAGGTGAAAGGTGGCTACTTGAGATTTCCTAGTTGTCTGCATGTAACAATACTTTCTCTCGAGAAAGTTTGTTTAATAAGAGAAAGAAAGTTTGTATAGTTTATTGAGTGACATCTTATCTCGACACGGTTTGATAAGCAGGGGTGTTAATTAGGTATGTACTTAATTTTTATGTTCCTCTTTTACTAATTGTTATAAATGAGGTCTAGTAAATGTAAGTCATAAGTCATAATTTTTTATCGCGTAATAATATAAGTTTGATATCAATTTGTTAACTCTATCCATCAGAATATTACATCCTTCTTTGGATTTTTACAGATTTTTTTAAACTAAAGTATTGTTTTTCTACAAAAAACTTTATAATTTAATTCCTAAGATTTTTGTAAATCCATTTAAACGGTAAATAATGCTTTGGATGAAGATTACCTATTAAATTACCTACTGAACCCACTAATCAAAATCAAATTTCTTAATATAGTTTAGTATTACTTGTAAAAATTTATGCATACAGGGTTCAAATCCTACCATTTTTTAAATTTTATTTTGTGAAATTGCTAAATTTTCCCAAGTTTCCAACAATACCTATATTACATTTTCTTATGCAGTCATACATGTTCTTATGTATAAATCACTAAGATTCTTTAATAATTTTTTAGCCTTAGATTTAATTAGTAAAATTCGTTCTAGTAACATCAACATGTTTTTTACCATTAGTAAATTTGCATAATATTAATTAACTTGTCGGATATATAACTCACAAATAGATAAAGTCTTATTTTTGGAGAATGAATTCTCATGTGCATGAAACGACCGAATTACTGAATTTGGATCAATTGGAATCCACTAAAATAAACTTAGAAATTGATTGCAAGTCTGAGAGGTTTTCGTATCAATTTCTCGGGGGTAATTCTAGTGCCAAGAAAATTGGGTGTACTCACTTGCATATTACATTACAATAACATTTTATACATACGCACTGTGCTAACTAAATTTTGCATGCACAGTAAATTTCACATTTTGAGCAGATCCCCACAATTTTTGCAATTAATCATACAGGGATGCACATAAATATGTAGGTCCGATTTAGTAAGGCTTGGTGAAATACTTCATAAAATTTCGATCGATTGATTCCTCATTTGACACATACATAAAGATAAACCTAACATTTTAACATTTGTGCTGAATAAGTTTTACGAAATTTATCACAAAGAAACCCAACAGGCAGACACGATGCACAACCTCTGACTTGGTTAAAATATGAAAAACTAAAATTTTGTAAAATTCATCTATTCTTATAAATAGTTTTACCCAAAATGGGTTATAATCACTTGACGTGAGCATGCCTTTTGTGTATTGATCGTAGAAAGACGTAGATCTCGAAACCTATCAAGTTTTCCGTGATACTGCACTCGTCGTTAATTTCGTGGAGAAAGCAAATTGCTTCACTTTAGTTGTACTCGATAGAGGACAATGTTCGAGACCAGACTGTGTACTTTTGTTATTGAGAAATTAATGTATCTCGTCCTCGTTAGCAAGGTGGCTTCCCGGCACGAATACAGTAATAAAGCCAAATCTAATTCCGGTGAACTACATATATTTCACCTTTGCCTTGTATGTAATTGGGAAATTTCATGGATATGGGAGCTTATATGAAATTGGGTTAATTCAATTATGAATCATGCTAATTAATTAATACAAGTGCATTTTTTCTATGAAAATATTTAACATTTATTCATTATTATTTAGTATTTACTTTGAAAGAAAAGTAAGTACCTAGACTAATTGCTGCAGATTCTTGGATTTCAAGCAATTTTAAATTCGCTTAATTTGTAATTAAAGTTGTAAATGTTAACATTGCAATTTTGGCTCAGTAAGGTTAAGCTTCAACCGCGGATTAATTTTGATCGCTAATATTTTATTTTACCAAATTAATGATAATTTGGCAAGCTATTTTTGAATATATAAGTAGATGATAGACGACATCAAACCTTTATTTTTAAAAATCTGAATCTTGCAGATTATAAAACTTGTTTTCTGACGCTAAAATGTGCAAAAACCCATTAAATTCAGATACATCATGTTCACCGGATAATCTAACCCGCACGTGTATAAAATACAAATAGGACACGATAACCTACAAATATTAATATCTTTCAGCCGACAAAATAATAAAGATAACCACGATAACCGCTTATCGTCTCACATTTTATCCCAGTCTGAGACTTGATGACGTCTCTGGAGTGAGCGGGTAGCTTCGCATTCCGTTTCCACGCTCTCCTCGCGAGCACGTTTTTCGTAACTGCTGCTCCAATTAAAAAGTATTAACTTATTATTTCATCTCATCGAAAAGATAAGACTACTGGACTTATCTTTTCCTCGTATTTTGCCATTGTGATAGTTTGTTTTGTGCTGGAGAGAGAAAAAAGAGTGAAGAGATTGACAATTTGGGTTAATTTTATTGCGGGTTTAGTTTAACTATTAATTAATTATTACTCCGTCGGTTAATTCGACGATTTTTATTTCTTTCTTCTCATTGTTGGACGTCGTAGTGGGTAAGTGATAAGATGGACTTATCTTAAATGTTTGATAGTATTGAGAGAAGCTATGGTAGTCAGTCATGTAATTTTTTATGAAAATACTTCATTTCATTTGAAATAATAATACTTTCGTAAGGAGTTCAATTAGCTATAATTAATTATAAGCTGGAAATGTTTGTCTGCAACGGAAGTGAAAGTAATTTTCCGTGACGGAAGTGAAAGTGGTGAAGGTTTCACTTCCGTTGTCAACCGACATTTCCAGCTAATAATATAGATACAATACAAAAATAATTCGGTGGAATTTTGAAATACCACTTAATTTTCATGAAAATCAAATAAGCCCGTCGCCCGGTGGAAGACGGGCTTATACGCTAGTAATTAATGTTAAGAAATTAGAATTATGTTATTTTCTCGTCGCTGAATGGGTCAAGTTGCATAAAAATTGGGGAATTTATTGAACTTTCCTCATATAATTCGTCCACTTTTAACTGTTAAACAACTTAAAGTTCAGTAATCTTTTAGGGAGTCATTTTAATTTTAACTATGCAAGTGACAAAGAAGTTAACGTGGTATGAGTTAAGTTAAGCAGATAAAGAATTCACACCAAACCGTTCTTTAAAAAAACGGGTGGTGTCGTTAGCATATGAAAGGTCGGTGCATTTCATACGTTTTCATTTTTATTAGTTAACTCTTAACTAACTTGGAGGTGGACACTTGCCAAGAAGTTTAACGTTCTTATCCTTAGGCAGTAGTGGTTTGGTTTGGGTGTCTGGTAATGGTAAATGCCAAGCCAATGATCTCGTTAATATTGGCAATGAAAATTGTAAACAGTTCATTTTTAATGCGTTATGCTAACCAAATGTCGATCTTAAACTTGTTGCAAAATGTTTTTAAAAAACAAATTTTGTAAAATTTGATGACTCATATGTTTTCAAAAAAATGTTACCAGTGGTTCAACATATTATTTTTAACTATTTACGACTTCACATGTATGTATATGCAAAAAGGCCTTGCAAAAATTAATAACTTGTTTTACATCCTTGCAGAAAACACTACATCACCAGCCCTTCAAAATTCCGCACGCTACAAGGATGAACGGTACCTGTAAAATGAACGGAGAGTCGGAAGGATGTAATAATTCTTCCTCCAGTGGCGACAGTGGTGGTGACCTCGTTGATGGGGTTTCCTGCGCCGACATGTTCCGCAACAAGGAGGGGTTGACGTACAACGACTTCATCATCCTCCCCGGATACATCGACTTCATCCCGAACGAAGTCACTCTTCACGCCAAGTTGACGCGAAATATCGGACTCAACTGTCCCCTCGTGTAACATAATAAATAATTGTTTAATGTAGCGATTGAGATTTGTTGTAATACTTACAATTAATTGTTGAATATTATGTAGATCGTCCCCCATGGACACTGTGACCGAGTCGGAAATGGCCATCGCCATGTCGCTGTCTGGTGGAATCGGTGGGTAAAAAATGTGATAAGCTTTTTGTACAATAATTTTCTTCAAGTTTTTAAAAATATTCTGATTTAAATCTTTTCAGGAATCATCCACCACAACTGCACTCCCGAATTCCAAGCGCAGGAAGTTCTGAAAGTGAAGAAATACAAGCATGGTTTCATCCGCGACCCTGTCGTCCTATCCCCGTCACACACGGTGCGTGATGTTTTCGCTATAAAAAAGCAGTACGGTTTTTCGGGCACTCCAATCACAGAAAATGGAAAATTGGGCGGAAAACTGATGGGGATTGTGACATCGAGGGACATTGATTTCTTTGAAGGACGAATGAACGTCACTCTTGACGAAGTCATGTCAACTGACCTTGTCACAGCGGGAGCAAATGTCAAATTGGCAGAGGCAAACCACATCATGGAGAAGTCTAAGAAGGGCAAACTCCCGATTGTGAATGAGGACTACGAATTGGTCGCACTTATTGCTAGAACGGATTTGAAAAAGGCTAGAAGTTTTCCGAACGCATCGAAAGATGCGAATAAACAATTGATCGTTGGCGCAGCAATTGGGACGAGGGAGTCGGATCGAGAGAGGTTAGAGGGGTTGGTTGCGGCTGGGGTGGATGTGGTCGTGTTGGATTCTTCACAAGGAAATTCGTCGTATCAGATTGAAATGATAAAGTAAGCCCTAACGTTGTACAGATTTGTAAGGATTTCGTTGTCTGTAACTTGAAGATGTATTAGTTTTGCATATGGTTTCAATAATTCAATATTTCACACTACTTATTTACTTCTGTAACAGGTTCATAAAAGCGAAATACCCAAATCTTGACATTGTCGCAGGAAACGTTGTGGTAACAAATATACATTTATATATAGATCTTAAAATTTTTGTTTTTAATTATAATGATAAAGTGCTAAATGTTATTTATTTCCTTTAGACTACGTCTCAAGCAAAGAATCTAATTGATGCTGGTGCGGACGGGCTTCGTGTTGGGATGGGAAGCGGGTCAATCTGTATTACGCAAGAGGTCATGGCCGTTGGGCGCGCACAGGCTACCGCTGTTTACAACGTTGCAAAATACGCAGCTCAGTTCGGAATCCCGATCATTGCGGATGGTGGGATTCAAAGTGTGGGGCATATTATTAAGGCGCTGTCTCTGGGGGCAAGTACGTGCATGATGGGATCCATGTTAGCTGGTGAGTTAATTTAATTACTCACAGTAAAGATATTTATCTAGTGAATTACTGAATTATGTGATTCATAATTTTTTTTATTAGGAACAACGGAAGCACCGGGCGAGTACTTTTTCGCGGATGGGGTCCGTCTCAAAAAATATCGTGGGATGGGTAGTCTTGAGGCGATGGAGAGGAAAGATGCTACTTCGTCAACTAGTGGGGGTAAAGGGGGTAAGATTTTTAAAATTAATTAAAATAAGATATGCTCATTATTTTACACATTGATATACATCTTTAATAACAAATTCAATGATAGCCATAACAAGGGCGTCTTAAATTAAACCAAATAATTTAATTGTGCATCTTTTCCAGGTACCTCTGCAGCCATGAACCGCTACTTCCACTCTGAAGGAGACCGCATGATGGTGGCGCAGGGCGTGTCGGGCTCTATTGTCGACAAGGTAAAAAAATATGAATTTGAATGAATCCAATCCAATATAAATGAATTTACGAAACTTGAAAATATGTATTGTTTCATTCAAGGGCTCCGTTCTTCGCTTCCTGCCCTACCTCGAAAGTGGGATTCGACACGGATGTCAGGACATGGGCGTCCGAAGTTTGTTTGAACTTCGAGACTTTACTTACAATGGAAAACTACGGTTCGAGCGCCGAACGACATCTGCACAATTGGAGGGTGGGGTGCATGGATTGTACAACTATGAGAAGCGACTCTTTTGATATGAGGCATCCTCCGAGGGACCCGGTTCGGTGCGGAAGAAGACATAATTTTTGGACCGTTTTACTGAATTGTTGAAATTAATTTACACAACTTACGTGCTTCCCACGCCCAAAGAATTGTATAAATCTCAAATTTTTTATGAATTCGTTGATTAATTGTAATGGTTTATGTAATTTTGTGAGAATTTGTTGGAATTATTTACAGGAATCTCAATTTATAGAATCTGAAAATCTGTACTGTTTCCTTTAATCGTTAGTTATCCATCCGTTTGTTATTTTTACGATTTTTGTACTTAATACGTTTGATTGCAATTATGCAAAACTGTTAATTAAGCAACTGCCAGGATTAATTAGTATTAATTATCTTGACATTTTTCTCTCCGATGTTTGTTTGTTATCCAAAGCGTATTACTAATTTCGTCCAAGTGTTTTGGTTTGCGATCCGTTTATCTGATTTGTTTTTTGTATGTAAAACTTTGTTAGTTAGTTGACAAAAACAACTATGTATTAATGACCAATCTAAACATTTAACCAAAATGAAAGGCAGGGTCTTCTATCTATCTTATCATCGCTTCCCTCTTGCTGTGTATACATACATAAATCAGGATATACAAAAAATATACTATTGTGATTTGAAATATGCAATCAATCAGAACCAGAAGATAAAGAATCAGGAATTCGAATCTTAACCTACGATGGATTTGTATCGTCGTTACCAATTTTGTAGTCAGAACAGACTAGAAAAGGTAGTCATAAATTAATTAGAAAAATAGCGACATAAATTTAGTAACTAACTTTTGAGAAGCTATTTTACTGCGAAAATGGTACTTGTAGTAGTCATTCACGTTAAATAGCAATGCATAACACTTAACTATGCACGCTAATTTATGCAGACATGCGAACGATTTATTTTGAATTTTAGACAGCCTATTCACGAAAATATTGTAACATTATAAATCTTGTAAAGTTTAGTGCCAAACAAAATGAGTTTATGCAATTTTGCAAAAATTTGATACATTAGAGCAAGTAAATAGTTGCTCTTCATTTTGCACATTTTACAACTTTACAAAGCTGACGTGAATAATTCGAAGCTTGGAATCACTATCTCTCGATAAAAAAAGATATGTGCCAAGATTTTCGCAAAAATATTGGTTATGTTCGCAAAATTAGACTTTGATTCAGTTTCCTATGTCACGCAATTTCTCTTCCTGTCACCGCCACGCTTTTTATTATTATGATGATATATTCTCTGTTAATTAAATATGCAATGAACATGAATAAAATATTTTGTATGAAAACAATGTCGTGTTCTTTTTAGGCGTTCTAGACATTCATGCTGGTCCTGTAATGAACGCTGATTACATGCAAAAATGTTCGAGTTGCTGAAAAAAGCTAAAATTGTTACTAAACAACAAACCAAAATTTTTGAAATCATGCAAACTTAATTTTCAGGTATTCCCGTTTTGTTCCCGATTTTCTCTGGCCTATTTCCGGTCCCGGTTTCTTGTAGGAAACTGCATTTTTCACTAGTTTGTTTGTAAAAGTCAGAAACTTTAAGGAAATTTTTGCCACTTTTTTTGTAAATTAAAACCTCTGACAGAATAACTATCATTCATAATTATGGCGTGGTTTGGCAAAACTCAAGCAACATGTGGGCGTCCCATCCCAAAACCAGAAAAGCAAGGAAAGCATGAAGAAATTTATGAGGAAGCGATCCCTATTCAGGATCAGATTGAAAATTTGAGGGCCAAAATCTCATTGAAGGGTAATACATCTCGTTCTTATTTTGCAAATATTTGTGTATTATACGATTTTCGCAATTTTTACCATAAATCCATGCTGAAATTTGCATCGGCGATAAAAATCAGTACCTTTCTTAATTTTGTGGTTTCCAGAACGGTACAACAAAGCGTTACGTGATGACCTCAATGAGTCGAACCAAGGAGCGTCCTCCTACGTCCAAGAACTGTCCCATGAGACGAAAGAACTTCGGCAAAAGCTCATGGACGCGATTCATTCGGAACAAAATGCGGTGCAGAATGCGTTGAGAACGTAAACTGAATAATTTCAAGTCACATTTTTTATACTTTTATACCAAAAATTTTGTGTCCTGATTTCACAGCCATCGAGAATTTCAACTCGCTATGACGAACAAGACGCCATCGATCGCCATTCCGTGGTTGGACGACAAACTGTTCGACATGGCGAAACTGCTGAACGGGATGCTCGACCGGTTGAAGGACAAGAGGAAACGATTGGAGGAATCAGAACAAATGGTGACGGTGAGTGAGACATTAAAATTTACAAAAATTAATTAGACCGATATTTTATTGAATTATTAATTTATTGAATTGCTATTTTGGGAATTAAGTTTTTATGAATTAACAGGTGATTCAAAAGTGGCCTCGACCTGGCACCCTCCCCTGGGAATTGGAGGCTGTCGGCAGTTTCAACAGGTTGGAGTGTCACATCGAGGCACAGAAAGGTTAAATTTAAATCAGATTTTTTACAACTAGTAACTAAATAATTAGAAAATTTTAATGCATAAGGTGAAAGTTAGTGATAAGTAGGACCTAAAAAATAGCAAATTTAGACCCTAGCTTTAACAATAGTGTGTAATTTTTTTAGCGGGAAACTCGCCCCCGTTTGGCTCCACACTTTTCTGACATGGGGAGCCGGAGAGTTGGATTGAATGGGTATCGCTTCTCGGCCTTTTGGCTAAGATCAAAGTGTAGTATCTGTTCTTATCAGCTTAATATCTGATACGAAAGTCATTGACTTTCCAGTATATTAAACTGATTTTTGGAACTGGGATGGGGTCGTGAAGCTTGCTTCCGCCCGTCCACGGGTCGGCCTGGCATTGCAGTACAGTCAGGATCGGCCCACCTGAAAATAATCCAAAGAAAAACTCCAAATCTTCTAAATCGTCACTTGTGTTGGAATTTCACAAAAAAATTGTTCATGTCCATTCTACACGCAAAGACAAAGTCGAAAATCTCATCTTACATGGAGGAAATTTGGTAGCATGAACACATTGAATTTCAATCTTGAATTAGCCTGGCCAATTGTATTTGTATGTATGCATAATTCTTCATAACGTTATTTCTGCTCATTTCTGGTGATTTTTAGAAGTGAGCAAATATGATAACATGAACACATTGAATTTCAAATTAGCCTGGCCAATGGTTGTAGGCAGAATTCTTCATACCTTTATTTCTGCTCATAACTCGATGTTAAATTACGTAAGTACTGTTAAGAAATCTAGAGATTGTTTTAAATTTCAATAATGAGTTGAAAATTTCATCACAAAAATGTAAGCACTTGCAAAAATAGTGTAAAATTACCAGAGCTGAAGACACCCGATTGGAGTACACAATTTGGCCAAAATTTTTAAAAGTGTGGTGACGCTGTTGGGTATCTTGTCAAACTTTTTTAGTTGACAAGAAATGTGAACGACATTTTATAGGATATTTAGAAGAATTATAAACATGACCGTAGTTTATTAATTGCTCGAAGATATTGCTCGAATCATTGAAAATATTTATTTAAAAAAATTGTATATGTACCTTAATTTTATAGTAAAACGTGAAACCGCGTTCATCATCCACTCGAAATACGTCCACATAAAGTTCCAACTCTTGTCCGAACGTGGCAAGTACACCTCCCTCTTAAAAAATATGGAGAGTGGACTCCGTATCTTGAAGAACGAATTGGCCGGGTTGGAAACCATGTTGGACGACGCGATTTATGTAAGTGATCCATGATAAATGGGGAAAATTAATGTTCTGGAGAATATACGTAAAATTGATCATTTTTAACAAGTGGTTCAAAATGTGTCATTTTTTAAGAAACTTCATTGTTCAATTTCTAAGCTTGGTCTCAATTTGATTCACAGTTTCGAAACGAAACGTATAAAAACCTCGTTCTGACGGAAAAAGAAGCCTCAGAGAACCGGAAACGTCGCCGAATCCAAATGGCCAAGATGAAAAAAGCTGTCGAAAAGATTTTGGAAGAAAATCAACGCGCACCTGCAAAGCAACACCAGGCGAAAATCCGGACCGATGTGTCGTCGACGGTGCTAAACCCGGGGCAAATGGGCGGTGAAGTGTCGGACATCTTGCGCTACAAGAGAGCAGAGGTCGAGGAGTATCAGGGAAGGGCGCGGCGTCTGGTGGAAATTATGAGAGTACCTGATTTGACACATATTCCGCTGAGGTATGCAAAATTTTTGGAACAAAATTCGACAATTTATAAGTAGAATGCAATTTTGAGAGAAAATGCAGACACAATTTGCAATTTAAGCATATTTACATAATTGCTCAAAAAATTGTCAAATTTTGTTTTGTACTTTACAAAAATTGTATGCATACAATTTCTCTTGGATTTCAATAAAATTCATCCAATTTGATTAGACTTTGAGAAAATTATGAGAATAAAATTATGAATTAAATTGTCTCCTTTTTCCTCTCAGACTCCGAACCGTTGCCACAATTGGTGTCAGACTTCGCGAAGAATTGAACGGAAAACAGCGGCTTCGTGACCTATTTTTAAAGCAGAAAGCGCAGCTTCAACTCATCCTCTATTACTTCCGCTACACGGGAGTGGCCCAATTGGAAACGTGAGTTTGTTACCTTTCATACATCTGACCTTTGATTACTAATCGTGGAACCAACGATTTTTGTCCTAATGTTACAGCTTCAATGGGAACAAGACCGAGTATGAAAATTCGATCGAGGAGGCGCAGAAGAAACATGTGCTCATGATGCATAGAATGGACCGCATAGGAGATGTCCAAGTACGGCTAAGGTTGGGAATGTTGTCTATCTTGGATCAGTTGACTGAAGGGAAGAAGAAAACGGCGCACAGGTAAATTAACGAATAAGGAAATGATAAGTATATTACTGTGAAAATTTGTAGAAATGTGTTCTTCACATTTCAAAATTTGGACAAATTTCGTTCAATATGTTGTCAAAAATTTCACAAATCTATGCATAATTCTATTTCAAAATTTAATTTTTTTCCTTCTCATGGCCCACGTTTTCCCCAAGCAGCACAAATAATTTCGATATATGTAATATACATTTTTGAATGTAGAATTTTCCCAATTTCAAACCCTAATCCCAATTAACTTTCCACCAAAAATAACTTACTCCTTTTTGTCCAGAACTCATGAGGACATGCGACAAAATATGAAGCTGATTTCGAACAAGTTGCAAAAGATAGTGGATGGAAATGCCGAGTTGGAGGCATTGTTTGATGGAACTTATCCCGAAAAGAATTACACGGCCTATGTCAAACAACCTTCTCACCAAAACCGCCTCATCCGGGTCGGGACGCCACATGTGTCCGAAGAGTCGGACGAGGATGATGACCTCGTTGACTCCAAGGTTCCGGGCCGGCAGGAAATCAAGTCGAAAAGTGCAAGGATTGTGAATCAGGCCAATTTGAAGAGAGGCATCCGTTAAGAAATTAAAGACAAATTGTATGCGATTTCAATAAATCAGATAATACTGGATATAACACTGCATTATTTCATCTCTACTACCCGGGTAATTTGTATCGCGTTATGGCTTAATGACCACTAAAATTGTTCACAGAAAATCGTGTAATTATAAAACGTAGGAAATAGCTTTTCATGCAGATAGAAGTAGTACAATAATTGACCTGTTTTTATATCCAATTTTTTCCGAACTATACAAAAAATTTTAATTTGCATATCTTAGAGGAAGTCCGCTCGAACTCTTGTATTCCAGTAAACTAGACAAGTTTAGTCGAATTATTTTACAAAATTTAAATAAAAAGACGCCCGTGATCTATATAAATTTCCTCATACATTGATTTGTAACCTGATTTTCCTATACAATCTTTCTAAGCTTGTCGAAACAGGTCGAAACACGGATTTTAGTGGGTTACCCAGATCGAAGTGAGTTGTCTTGCCTTACAATTACAATAAACCCGTACATAATTCGAACCAGGACACGAATCGGATCAGTTTTACCACGTTTCAGCCTAGATTTTAATTTACATGTCATAATTTACAATGCAAACTGTCTCATTTTCCATCCTGCACAAAATGATTCATTCTTTCATACTTAATATGCTAATATTTCTCCCTCTCTCCCGTTCCGACTGGACGCTGGAGAAAAAAATCCAGTCTGAAAAGAAGAGGGTGATTTTGTTTTATTTTAGAGCACGTTCCTCCTTCCTCTCCTCCCGTTTTGTACGTATAATTCGATCCGAAAATTCGGGACGTAATGTACATATTCGCCACATACACACACATATTCCCAAAACCAATATGGGATGAGGATGAGGCTCACCAAGATTGGAATGGGGGCGGATTTTGGGGTCGTGTTGCTGGCCATGAAGGGAGACAGAAAGTGAACGAAAGAGCATTTTGGTGTTAACCAAGCAACCCCAACTCCCGGATGTCTTGTTGTCCGAATGAGGCTACTACTAGGTACGAACGCTACCCGGGTATTAGGAGAGGGTAAAAGTGCCGTTGTGAACGAGGGGTTGAATTATTACGGGGTAGAATGTGGAGATGAGAAATAAAGAAAAAAAGAGAGATGATCGCATCGCATTTGTTTCTGAAAGGGTTAAATTTTGGATGGGGTTAGATTTCATGTTGAATGACCAACCAGAAAAAATTGGAAAGTTTAACCAGAAATTTAAAATTAAAACAAAAGTACGCAATTTGTAAAATGAATACATTTTTGATTTCCTATTCATATTAGCATTTATAAATAAATCTCCACAATACACACACAAATTTTACATACATACTTAATTATTCATGACTTTTCCTGTAAAAAGTCGTGAAATTAGAAGTTAAAACAGTTGAAATACAAAAATTCTTAACAGAGGTGAAAGCAAGGCGACTTTTTCCCAAGAACAACAATGCATGTTCAAGATTTAAATAATTCTTTGAACGACATGAGTGAAAAAATGTGAAAAAAATACAAAAATAATTTTATTATTTTTACTCACTACTTTTTAATTTTTTTATGAAATCGTTCAAACCTATAAACTATTTTAATCTTGTAATCATAATATATTTTCTTATTGACTCTTTACTCCAGCAATATTACACAATGATTGTAATGCCTTCCTAGCCCGTCCGATAAATGAAGTTTGGAATAACGTGACAAATTACCTACAATAATGATGATATCATGTGTACATGTGTGTTATGCAAATATATAAATAATTATGTCATCAACATCATCACTCACTTTCAACTTGAGTTTCTTTTCATACGTATGGATCACTCCCTTTTTAGCAGAAAAAAAAATCTGGGACAATTTCATACATGATATGATCACCATGAAATGAAGGGAGAGAGAGAGAGAGAGATGTGACGCCTCGTGATATTGATGATGACAATGATGAATCGGGTATTAGTAAAACCCGGGTGTTGCTATTGTCGGGTATTTTTAAAGAGGTTAATACATTGTGGAAATGTGAGTTAGGAGACGGACATAAAGGATGTTTTAAGGTTTGGATCCTGTAAATAATGTGGTAATAATCTGTAGAGACAAAGTGTGATTTCGCCGACTTGGTTATAGTTAGTTTAGTAATAGTTTAGTATCCGGCCCGGATGGTTGTAATTTGGTACAAGATATTGCGAAATTAACATTTGTTAATATCAATTGGTAAACAATTATAACCAAGTTGTGGGCAAATTGTTACCAAAGTTGGTAATAATGTTTACTACCGAATTAAATATATAATTACAAAATGTTATACTTAAAAAATCTTTGCCCACATTCTTTCTGCAGAAGCCTCAAAGTACACAATAATGGACGTGACGTGATGATGATGACAGAGTAGAACGAGGGGACGTGGGGTCAAAATCAGGACAATTGGTTCCGTATATAATTGAACACATGCACGTTTTTAGTTCACACAGCTGGGTCGATATGGGATGAGTGATTTTGAAATCCAATTAATTCCGAGTCTTTTAAAATATGTTATAAAAATACAATGCATTTTTGAGGATTTTTTCAATTTTGTTTTGTTTAGTTGGAATTTGTAAAGAATCATATTATTTTTTTGCGCAATATTTATATCGCATAGTTGTGCATTGTTTTGGTATTATTGCCAATAAGTTATTATTGATTAAGAGTAAGATTTTTGCCTACAATTTCGTGTTTTTAAAATAGAATTGTATTAACCTTAGTGTTAAACTTTTCACTCACCTACTTTTAATAATATTTGTACGTAATTGTTGGTAGTAATCAACCTGGGACGTGAAAATGTGACAAATGTGAATATGTGAAATGTGAATAAAATTGACGTATGTAACTGGAGTCTCATTTTGTCCAAATTTGCCGACAAGTAGAACCATGGATGAGTAGAACTGACAAGTTGATCAGGTTCAGTTTTTAATAAAATGCTCTCTTATTGACCGGATTGGTCACGTAGTGCCATATGTGGAACACCATGAATGCCCAAATTTCATCGGGTCCATTCAGCCCGGACAAATTGCCTGGTCATGGTCAACATATTGGGAAAATGACAATGCCAACGAAACGCTGGGGGGACGTGAGGAGGGAAATTTAACAAATGAAAGATTCCAAGCTCGGTTTATTAGATTTCAGGCGAAATTGAAGAAATTGAAGTAAACAACGAGTCCGGGCGCATGGTTTACAATTTCTGTACTAAATGTGCCAAAATTTTGGGTTTCCGAAATTTTTCAGGAATATTACTTAATCTGTAAAAAATACATGTACAAGACGACAAATTATGCTATTTTGACCTTGCGTACTGTAAAGAAATCCGAATTTTACGTTTCTGAAATTTTTCAGGAATATTAAATCGGTATATACTGGACGAGAAATTATTTTATTTTCACTTTTCACACTGGAAAGAAATCCGATAGATCAGCATTATTTTCCCCAGGTTTGTAACTGGAAATACAAATATCTAAATCCTAAAAAAGTGCACATGGCGGTAACATGTTTTTACGTAATTATGTGCATCGTCGCGTCGCATGTATGTCAACCAACTGACTAAAAGGAGCAAGTAAGGCGATGGAGATGTTCGTGTCAAAACATGGTCAAAGCGCCATGTTTTCCTTCAGTTTGCTAAATGAGGACATTTTAAATTTCTTAATGGTTTTACACACACTTTTACACAGATAAATAACACCATGTTTGTTTTAAGATGGGGTATTTTTTGTTACGTTTCGTAGTGTGCTTGCTTAAGCAAAGTGCACGAAATGTGGTGGGAGAAATGGGGATTAAAGTCACCTTTTAACTTGCTTTTTTGATGAAATGAACCAAATTGTAAGGTTAAAAGCCAGTGAATAAATATGAAAAAAATTATAGATGCGTGATAAGTTTATTCAGATACAATGAGGACACTTATTGGTGGCTCGATAAGAAGAAATAAGAAATTATACCAATGTTTTAAGGAAATGCATTTTATATTTCATGAATTTTTTATACTTTGATCGATAAGCTAAGATTTCATCTAAATGTGTTAAGATATGGTCGAGTTAGCTTTTTTGTGTGTAAAAAGTATCAGAAATTAAGTGATTGATTAAAAATACAAGTATGTAAATGACCAAGTTATTAGTGTTTGAAATGGATTTATTTCATACAAGTTTAGTAAAAATCTGGGATTTTTCGCTTAAATTTCAGTTTTGGTTGGTGGAACACAATCCCGTGAAATAATTTAGGCTTAAGCGACTCCCAGCTTAAGTTTGGTTTTTTGTTAAATGTTTCCATTAGCGAGACGTGTTCTCTCTCTCTTTTTCCATGTTATTCATGACTTGCAGACGGTTGAAGAGGGGGAGATGATCCTGATAATTGCCCCGAATTCGGTGTGTGCACATACCCGGGTGATTCTCGGGAGAGATGTAATCTTATGTTGTGTGTTTTTTTAAAGAATGCTCTTTAACGGGAAGGATTTCAAGAATGTGAGGCAATTTACCACACCCAGGCCAAAAACGTAACCCAACTAACCAACCTTAAAAAAATTGATGGAATGTTTGTCGTACACAAATGCAAATCTTGATGTGTAAAAACTGTGAGATTTTAACCACTTAAAAAAATCTGGAAGTCTGTATTTTCATTAAAGCGAAGTGGAATGAGATGAAATCATGCAAATACAATGTTGCATCGATATTATGCAATAAACTCAGATGACTATACATACGTAACCCAACAAAACTCTCTAAAATATGTACGTTAATCATAGCACTCCTTGAATTATAGGTGGCTAATTATTTGTCAAAATTGGCTAGCCAGGAGACTATCAATTCGTTCTCTGGGTCGTAGAGCGTATTTTTTTTGTTATTTAGCATGATTTATTAAATCCAAAAAGAGTTTAAAACACATAATTTTCATTATAAGCTTGTCAGACCCCATTGCACATGGGAAATTACCTGATCAAGCCAGTCAGTCTTTTAGTTAAAAATATTTCAACTAAGGTACACGTACATACATACCTAAAATTAAGTATTAGAGTAAGAGAGCGGTTTAGGAGTGATGCTCGATAATTAGTCAACGAATATCAGTTAAAATGCATGGACTTCAGTTTCTTTTTGAAAACAGCGTAGCTTGACTCGAATTTTAGCTCTTCATTCAAACCATTCCATAAATTTACACCAGCAAAATATTTAGACCATGAGAGGTCCTCGGTTTAACAGAGCTAACCAGAGCATTATAAGATCTTCTGGTGTCATGATTGTGAACATCATAAATTTTAGTAAAATACTCGTCAAAATATGGAAACAGAAATATTTTTAAATAGTGTCCTACAGTCACACAAGTAGATTGAGTTTGTTTGACAATTATCGAATCTAGCAAATTTCCACCCCAAGTAGGAAAATCAGCACTCTTATGCTCTTGTCAATTAGATTTCATATTACACACTTGAATCGAATAAACATAAATATTCTAAGTAAGAGGGATCAGACCAGTCAATATTAGCTAAGGATATTTCATTTACTTTTAAATCATTTCTCGCCAATATTGCAGCTCCACCCCCTCGAGTAGATCGGTCCTTTCTGTACATTACAAAGTTTGTGGGAATACAATACTCCCTGTCAGGTCTAAACCATGTTTATTTTGATGACCACTTAAAATAGTACGATTTGCTGCTAGTCAGTTCGTTTCCATGCTTGTCACACCCACTCGATGTATCTTGGATTGTTGGGAGTCAAGTTTACATTCATTCTTCCGCTTTGAAAGTCGTGTGGCCATTCGCTCAGACGATGTTGCGCCCGTCCCTTTTTCAACCCTCGCTTTAGATTTTGCCTTCCATTCCGCTTGCTCTTTACGTGTTAGATCTTTCCGCACTGAGATGGTCTTAAATTCGGTCCTGTCCTTCAACATAGAACAGTTTTTTAATGCCTGGGTTTTTTGCTGAACTGTGGATAAGTTAATCCGGATTGGACGAAGCTTTCTTCCTTCTGAGTCACCAATTCGGTTGTCGTGTAGAGGACCTACCCATTCAGGTACAATTACTTTCATTAATTGTGCCCTTCCTTTGATTCAGGCACTCCCATCAAAATAATATTGCCCATCCGGATTAGCCTCTGCTTTTGCTCGACGAACTCCTCTCTTACTTCTTGCAGCAACGTGTCCTTAATTGATTCACGTGAAAGTTTTTCTTGATGCTTCAGAATGTTCGCCTCCATCCCCTCCATTTGCTTCTTTAAGACGTCCATGTAAAGATTTGTTTCACACGAGTAATTTACAAGGTTAATTCAGGTTCTCAAATGAAAAAAAAATGGTGAAGATAAGTATCTTGCCTATAAAGGCTCTTAAAAGAGCATGGAGGTGGGCCAACAAGCAAAAAGAGTGACGATCATACTCAGGTCACTCCCTTGGTGTGGTAATCCACCTCCCCCTTAGAAATTAGGGTAAAAACTTATCCCCACAACCAGATCCGTCCACAAAAAAAGAAATTTGTCCGGGGGTGGGAAGAATGAGTAGCAGCAGGAGCAGGAATGGGCACCACCAGCTACTTCCTTTTACACTTGATTTCTTAATCGCAAAAATCTAACTTTAAAATTGGTGAGAACTATCAAAATTGCGAAATTGTGGGGAAAATTTTTGTAACTTAATGACCAGTGGGTACAGCTCTATAAAATGATACCAATTTCAACTTTATAATTGCAGTTTAAAATTATTTATTTCTATTTATTCGTAGAGTTAAATGAACATATGTACACGTCCCAAGTGCCTTATATACCATTTCATGCTTAAAACAAATTTAAATCAGTTGAGAACGAATTTCGAAAACCATAAAGCATGGATTTCTACACAAGAATAAGGAGATGCATTTTTAGCATTTTGTAGACCAGAATGTGTGCCAATTTGACCTACAAAAATTGTAGCGATCGATTACGCACGTCATTACAGACTGAGTTTTTACTAAGGAGGGGAGCTTGCGAGGTTGATAATAACAGATATTGGTGCCCTTTGGATATGTGGTAGGGACCCATGAGTGTACTAAAACCCTGAAGTAGTTTGACTCCATGGCCCCATTTGCGCCCGCCACACCCACTCAAAAATGTCCAAAAAACGCTTTCACCCCAGTTATCACTCACTCAAATCCACGCCAAAAATCCAATTTTACTCGGATTTTGAAATTTCTTTCACCATTATACTCCCAGATAGTTGCTTTCTTCAATCCAATATCAAACTCAATTTTTTCGAAATTTTTAGTATTTTAAAAATTTAAAATTCTGAATGAGCATTGTTGTAGTCATCAACAAAACAAATTATGTTTGCGAAATAATCATCAATAAAATTGAGTTTGATATTGGATTGAAGAAAGCAACTATCTGGGAGTATAATGGTGAAAGAAATTTCAAAATCCGAGTAAAATTGGATTTTTGACGTGGATTTGAGTGAGTGAAAACTCGAGTGAAAGCGTTTTTTGGGCATTTTTGAGTGGGTGTGGCGGGCGCAAATGTGGCCATGGAGTCAAACTACTTCAGGGTTTTAGTACACTCATGGGTCCCTACCACATATCCAAAGGGCACCAATATCTGTTATTATCAACCTCGCAAGCTCCCCTCCTAAGTGATTTATGTACAAATGTAATGACGAATAGGTCCAACGTTCAACATTTACCTACCCAACCAAATTTAGTTGGTCATTCTAATTACACAAAGTAAGAAGTACTTTGATTTTTTTAGACCTGGTTTATTTCGTGTCCATGTTACATTCGCACTTACACGGGTGATTACACGATGATAAGAAGGAGCTAATTGTGTAAGTGGGACTCTTGACTAATACATAATTGACTTGTTTGATAACGTCAATGGTTTGATTTGATGATGATTGAAAATTTGATGACGGGTTTAAATATGTGAAATTCACCTGACCAACAAACATCTTGATTAAATAATATCCACCTCATTCAACCCATCCAACTCTGACCCCGCAATTGTTTTTTAACTGGTATTAAGTATTTGACCAGGTGGGGATTGGATAAGTTGTTCCATTCATATAGCAAAAAAACGATATGGTTTTACAGTGTGCGTCAAATCTTGTCTCAAAATTCTCCAAATAAAATCTGCAGTTTTTCACGAATTCTTGAATAAAGCATTTTCAAAATTTTTGTATTGGCGTGGAACTGTCTAAATTTCATTTTATTTATGAACCCCAGTAAAAATTTGAACGGCGTTCCGGCATACATTCTTCAGAAAAACTTTATGCAGGACGATTTGTGCAGAAAACTATGCAGCATTATAGACATAAGATTCAGCAAAGTAAACCGATAGAAATTTTTTGCATGATTATATACAAAAATTATGCATAATTACAATATACATCGAACTTTTGTCGATTTCTGCACAGTGATTTTACTCGGAAATTCCATCTAATTTCTTCTATTTTGAATTTATCTGCATATTAACAAGTGCCATGGCTTTTGGAACCCTGTCCGATCATTTAGGTGATCATTTATAACGTCTGGAACTCCCAAACGGACGATTCGGAGATCAATTAGAATGTAATTTTGACACATAAAATCGATTTAAGGTTGGACCATGACATGGAAATATATTATCTCTTTCAGATAAGCATTTCGACAAGTTGCGTCAGTCACGATATAAAATGTTCCAGTGTCAAGTTAAAATTCCTCAATTAGATCGGATCAATTGTATTGATAGCATATTCAATACTGCATAATTTTTTGCAACAATTTGGCAAAAATGTTGAATACGAAAGGTTTAACAGTTTTGGTTTTGGTGGCCGTTTTGGGTGGAATTAATGCCCAAAATGGATCCCCATGTCACGCCAGCTTTTTCCAGTTTACACCCAGACACAACTTGAATATTTCAAGTGTGAGTTTTGCATAAAAAAATTGTTCGAAAATTGAGATTTGGTAATTTTGAAAATGAAAATTTATTTTCTTTAGTACATGGGAGACTGGTATATCCATGAAGTTGCAGGAAGTCATATTGGAAATTTCCCAGAACCTGACTGGAAGTAAGTCACTCTTAGACATGATGTGCAAAAAGATTTGCACACGTTATTTGCACACGTTATTAATTACCAATTTATTAAAGATGTGCCAAGCGTCACCTCCACCTTCCCAACGAGACGGATATTCTCCATCTCGAATCGACTGATACGTAAGCAGAGAAAATTATCAAATATGAAAACATTGCAAATTTTTATTCGCGAAATTTTTGCACAGCTTCGTCAACATCACGGATGGCGTCACCGTTGCTGAAAGCAAACTCGTCTCCGTTAACAATACCCGCAGCCCGTTCTCTGCCATGTGGCGTTTGAATTCGGGTGCCGAGGGCGAAAGTAAGTTACAGACACGAGTTAGGAATGATCTGTAAATGATGTCACCTCGCTCCACCCGTTACGCAAATTTTTAACGTGTGGCGCAAATGGGGCTGTCATGCAAGCTGTATAGCTAACCAACAATTCCCCCTCTTCGATGACATTATTTACGGATCAAGCACTATGCAAATTTTTAGGCCAGTAAATACTAGAATATTATGCAAATTTTTGCACACATTGTGCCTAATTTTGATAAATATTCGGATATTTATTTTTTGCAAACTAAATTAGTAAATTTTACAGAAATCTGAGTTTGCAAACAAAAGTTTAAAGTGTTGTTTGTACAAACTCAAATTACTTTATTAGTTTAAATTGTATTTATTTTTTTTTATTATTTTACTATTCAATTTTTTATAAATTTCTTAGTTGATACTCAAGTGATCGTGTTATTCGCGGATCTTGATTTTGCCCACTGGACGGTCGTGTACTCCTGCTCCATCCTCGGCCCGGATGCTTATCGCTATGAGGTCGTTTACGCCATGACCCGTGCACGCGCCATTCCCCCAGAACTCAGACAATACCTCAAGGCACTCATGGTCGGTCAAGGATTCAGAATTGGAGACCACTGGCCAGTCGATCAGGCCAACTGCGATTAAAAAATAAATGTCATTTTGTGAAATTCGAAACGTACAATAAACTAAATTTCAATGTGAGACTAAAATTGTTTAACAGAACAAAATTTTGTCAAAACGTGTTTGTTTGGTAGCATCCGCCTTAGAATCTTTGAATCATTCTTATAGTTCAAACTTCCTCAAAAAATGAAATTGGCGATTTAATCAAACAAATTTTGCATGGCTTATAAATTTTTATTTGTGAAATTCAAAAAATTATAAATATTTTTATAAATACATGCATAAGCATGTGGAATTCAAATTCTAGTAAAATTTAGCTGAAAACACAATTTATTTTGAGTGCCGCTTAAAAATAAACTTTGACAAAATCATCATATTTTTTTAACAAAATTTATTCATAAATATAGCTACCCTACTGAACAATAAATCCAAATGGCATCAAATGCAAGCTGAAAACCTAATTTTTCCATCAAATTTTTCGACGCGGTAGATTCCAGCTCGATTTCGACCAAGGGGCGCATGCGCAGGCGGACTAAATCTACCGCGACACGTTTCATTGCCAGCTCGGCGAGTCCTTTCCGCCGATAAGCGTCTATAGTATGAAGTGCATTTATTGTCCCTGTCGGCATTGTTATGGTCCAACAGATGGGTGAAGATAAGGTTGTATCATCAGAGAGAAAAATTCCTGCAGAGGGAGAATGGCGAATTTGGTCATTGACGTGAATCAGCGCCCCATCTGAGCCAAATTTCCAGACAGAATTGATCATAGGGGCGTGTTTGTCTGGAGAGAGGGGACGGATGGCGAATTCAGAACTATATTGTTTATGGATTAAATTAAATTAAGTTAGTAAAGATTTTCATAAAATTGGAAAAATTAGTAGATCCAGGACCAGTATTTTCTTATATATTTCATAATTAAAAACACATGCACAATTTCATGCGTTCAACCAACCCCTCACAAAAACATGCACCCACCTTTCGTTATTACTTTCGATATCCTTCTCAAATCCTAAAACTGTCGTTTCGTCCAGGAACATCGTCCAGTTGGGGTAGGCCACCATGTTTCTGTTATTAAGAGACGTGACCTTCTCGATGAAGGGAACATAGCGCACGTCCATTGTTCCAAACACAATGTCACCTTTATCCCCAAAGTCGAAAAGTGAGGAAAAGGCTGATATCAGGTCGGAATCGTCAGGGGATGGCGTTTCCCTCGAGTACATCAACGTATAGGAAAAGTTTGATGAATTTTTGATAATGTACTGGAGGAAGAATTATAGAAATTAAACCCGAAATATAAGGATTTCTCCGAAAAATAATTGTATCATAAATAATAGCAAAAATAATGTGTCGAAAATGAATACAAGCTTGGTAAAATTTAGAAAATGTAGAATTTTACCTTCGTATTAATTATGCACACCAAAAACAACGGTTTATCCAATGTATTCCAATCTCGATCGGAGCATAAAATTTGGGCATCTTTTTTACCACGCAAAGAACCCACTTCCGGTTCATAAGTAAAGAACTTAAAGTACGGAACCCGTTCTGGAGAAAATAATCCTCCCATCTTCACTTTCAGGAGATTGAGCATCTAATAAAAATTGTTAATTGGCGTATTTACAAATATGTTGATGATGCAAAATATTAACCTTGCTATTCACAAAGTTTATCTTGTGTTTAACATTACTTTAGCAATTCAGACATAAAAAAGTAAAAGTATGACCTTGGACATATCTAAAGATTTTTAACAAAAAATTAACAATTTAAGAAGATTACAATTGGCGTATAAGTTTGCAAAAATATTTTGTCTCAAAATCAGAACCAAACCAATACGAACTTGAACGAAATTAACGAAATTATCAAATTTTCACTTACTTGGACCGTTGATGGCATTAAAGTCTCCAAAACTGACACTAAATTTTCGACATTATTTCCCAACTGGAGCTCAACAAAAGAATATTTTTGTGCCATTTTTAGCAAAAATGAAAATTTATTTTTGTGCCATTTTTAGCAAAAATGAAAATTTATAAAATTTGTTCCGTACTGAAATGAAAATGAGGAATGAATAACTATTCAGCTGTTTGCGTATGCAATGATGGAGGTTAAACTTAATCAAATAACTGGCTCGTTAAATACACATAAATAAATGCCCCGTTAATAAATGATAGCTTTTATATGTGCCAAGCCATTGCCAAGCACATGAGATTTTCCATGCAATCCTTTACACATCATTATACGAAAAATTGCAATTATTTTTGATAAATATGCTATTTTGACTATATAAAGTTAACTGTTCTCGCTAAATGAAAAAAATAAATAAAATGGAAAGCGTACAAAAAGGTCATCCGATTTCTTCACTTTTTCTGTCGTCTTGAAATCATAAGGGGCCGTGCATACAGTATGATGGAGAAGGACACGATTTAACGATCCACTCAGAAATCGTCTAAATTATGAAATCATATTTACTCACGTAAGAAAGTGCGTTTAAAAAATTTCGACGCAATATGTGAACGTCCCCAAGAGCTTTGACCTCTGTCGTCTAATTTTCTCAGTCACCTTTTTTGTTCGGTCGGAGTCGGTCAACTTTTTTTTTCTTGTTCCGTCCTGTCGTTAAAAGTAAGATAAGTCGACACTTATTGGACCTTGTCATCTGGATAAGATAAGAAGATAAGGTAAGTTGGTAGGGGGAAGTTAGTTTTCATTTTTTATTTCTAATTGCGTTCAATTGATTCAATTTGTAGAGCAGCCCATTCCATATTTATTCTGCAATGGAGATTGAAATGATGGACAACTTGACGGCGGCGGCCGATAAGAACTTGAAGACGTTTGAAAACAAGGAAAAGATGCTGCAAGAGGTCGAATTTTCCCAGAGTAAGGATAAGTTTGAGGGAAATATGGTGGAAAGCGAGGAAGTCTTCATCCCCACCCCGGATAACGTCATGATCGAGCCTGACAATGACGAAAACATGACCGTCGAGCAGGACGAGGAACTCAATCGTCAAACCCAGTTTTTAGAATTGCTCAAGTGGGAGGAGGAAAGTGTGAGTGGGATTAATAAATAATTTAGTTAAGTAATTAAGTATTTTATAGTTTTATTTAATTTTTTCAGAAAGCATATCTCGATCTGCTGACCGCAGAAGAGTCCGGTCTTCGCCAACAGGTTGATGCAGCGGTGAAAGAGACGCACGGCCTGCTTGAACTTCAATCCAGCTTGGAAGGTTTGGTTTAGTTTACGATATTCCTTTGCAAATATCTGTATAATTTGTGTTTTTTAGCTAAGATCGAGGCGCAACGACAAGCCAGAGTAAAATTGGGGTTGGAAGAATTAACAAAGCGGAATACGGATAGGCAAAATGACTTGGATAGAGTGAAGGAGGAAATTGATACTATTCGGCTGGAAACTTTGACCAAGAGGTAAAATACATATATTTCAGAAGTGAACTAGAAATTTATAGACTAAATTGGGTAAACTGTTTTGTTTTTTAGCACGAAAATGCTACAGCTTCAAGTCGAGGACACTGCTAATATAGCCAACCGCTTGAAGCAGTATCGGGTATGGAATTTTTGTAGTTGGTGGAACGTTTTCATTTTCATTTTGAAACCGTATAAAGTTTTATGTAAACTTTCTGACAGGACCCTAAATCCGTCGCAAAAAGTTTAAAGGCCACAGAGGACGAAATTGTCAAAGTCCGTTCGGAAATTGAGCAGGTCGTCGAAGAGCAAAACCGCATAATTGCGGAGATGGCAGGATTGGATGAACAGAAAAACATGACTGCAATTTTGCAACAAATTGGGTAAGTTGCAAACAATTGTTTGATGATCGTTTTTAAACCTCAAAATTTCTGAGTTACGTTTCGTAAAATTTATTTTGTGAAAATTACAGCTCAGAATCCAAGGATTGTGCCGAAACCTGGCTGAAATCGGTGGCTGCTCTGAACGCTGAAATTGCCACTCTGGAACGTGAAGTAGGATCTGGATTTCGCCAATACGACCACGAAAATGATTGCGGAAACAGAGAAATTATTAATTAAGTTTCCCAAATTGTACCAGTTTTTCATGAAAATGAGCCAACATTTTTCAATGTTTTAATTCAACCTGGTTTTTATTTACGTATTTATACACGCATTTGAAATACGTTAAATAGTTTTTTGATTTTTAAAAAATTCATAAAATATATTTCTTTCCGATATCTATTATTTTTGTATTTTTGTAACCTTATCGTATAACATGTTTCTCCTTCGTTATACACAAATATGTAAGTACACAGTATTCTTGTTCCCGAATAATAAACCAGTCAGTTTAATAATAGCTTGTTTCTGTTTAAAGTATTACCTAAAATTAGTTAATTACATATTATATTTTGTTTAAAACTATATTTAATATGGTCTCCAAACCCCCTTCGTTGGAGCGGAGGATGTGACCGTGCAACTCTTTGTGGGACCGACGCCACCAGAATTGAGATCTTTGGGTTTAATACTCTTATTATTGTTGTTATTATTGGTACCATTTCCGGTCGGCGCGGTCATTGGGATGGACTTGACCTTCGTTTCCTTCCCGACATCGTCATCCGACCCATTTCCAGCGCTATCACTGCTTATCGTGCTGCTATTGCTAGGACTGGAGGATGACTTTTGGTGGTGATGGTGATTATGCGACGACTTGGGGCGTAAGTTGACATTATTATTATTATTATTGTGATGGGTGTGGCGATGATGGTGATTATTGTTGTTATTATTATTATTTAGTGAACTATTGGACCCACTTCCGTTCTGTGGAGATGTGGAACTTGGCGATCTGAACGTTCCTAGGAGTGGCATCGGTGGTGATGTGAGGTGTAAATGGGGTGGGATGTTGGCATGTCGTAAGAGAGGATGTGGCGACGTGAAACCGTCGGGAAGATGGTGCGAACCCAGGGTGGCGAGTGGGCCGGAAGGAGACGAGCCGGGTAGTTTGGGTAGTTGTGGTGGTAGTGGTGGTGGCGGGAATGGGGGTGTGGATCCGCCCGGCGTGGATGGAGGCGGGTGTGGATGATGCTGGATTGAGAGGAGAGCCTCTTGGCGACGAAGGCATTCCCAGTTGTACGCCATATATGCGGCGGCAGGGTCGAGCCATGGCGCCCCCAGGAGGGGGAACATCCCACCGTGACCTGGAAATGAAAACACTGCGTGGAATTAGTATGTAATTTTTTAGGGGGGACGGGATGCATTTGGGGTAAAATTAGCAGAAATTTTGATATGGAAAATTCTCTTAAGTTTAGAGTGCAAAATTGACAAAAGTATTTAGCATAAGGAAATTTTGATGCAACGTTAGTATAAACTTTGTTATGTTTACGAAATTCATAGAAATTTTATCCCATGAAAACTTCCTGCAAAAATTCCCCGAAATAACGAACATTGATGCCAACCCGGAACCTAGAATACATATTCCCCCATAAAAATCCTCCTTGTTTACATCTTTCCCACTCTTTGATTACTTTCACATTTTGTTTTTCCGTATTTTTAGTAATTTTAGATTTTATTACGCCTCTCGGAAAGCTGCCCACCGTACCGAAATTATTCCAAAAGGCGAACCGATCCCCCTGCCACTGGTATTGTAATTGTTTAGTCTCTCCCACCACCACCACTATACTACCACCACCACCAATGATACCTACTAAACCAACCAAACCAACGCCACCATCTGCACACATTCCTCCTCCGAAAACCGTAATTAAACCCGCACCACCCACATTCACGGGAGAAACAGGAGCAAAACAACGCCTTGTTTTCAGACGATTTTAGAATTCTTGGAAAAATACAATACTACAATCAACCATCCATCCAACTCGAACTGTAACCTCGTAAATGGTGCAGTCTGAAAACAAAACGAAATATTGTGATGATCAGCATGGTCATAAAGATCGCCATCATCGGCAGCTGGAAACCTAATAAACTTCCATCCCTGTTTATTTTACTTGTCGGCTACGATTCGAAAAATCTTTGATGATTTTCACATAAAAGTTTAATCCTGTTTCTTCTAGAAACTGCCTTCAACCTCCCATTTTTAATCGTTACACACATACACACAAGTCTGCCCTGGCAAAAAAAATCCGGGCATCATCGGATCGGGAAACATAAGATTTGTCTCGTCTACACGCTTTCATCCATGTTTTGTTTATCTACGGGAGCAAAGAAAGGACCAAAGTGTCCAAGAAGCAATGAATCGGAGAAGAAAAAGGAGAGATGGACATTCAGACGGAATCCAAATCCAAATGGGCCCGATTTTTATATATATGTCTTCAGATTTCGAAACGAAAATGTCCCACTCCATTTATTCCGCTCAATGAGATAAGAGATTGCCATGAACGGAGAAAGTTTTCCCTTTTTTTGTTACTGCCTTTCCCTTTTTTGTTACTTGGTTGGTTAGTTAACTTGGTGGTTTGGTTTGGTCTGGTTGGAAGAAGACTTGGCGAGGGTTGAAATAAATAGGATGCCAAAATTGCTCAACCACACAAACTGACAAACTACCCGGACAAGGACGAGGAACAAACGACCATGCATGGGACGATTCATATGATGTCAGGGAATATAAGAGGAGAAGGAGGAGACATATTTTTAAAGGAGGAAGTCACCTTAAAAATGTGGAAAGAGGGGAAAGTTAAGGATTGAGAGATGATTTTTTGTCGTAAAAATTGAGATATTATGGTCTAAAATGGGTTAGATTTTGGATAAATGTATGGTTTCCTTTAGGTCAAGATTTTGAATATTTTCGAAATTTTGGATAGTTTTCACGTCTTAATTCGATACTTTAAAGAACTTTGCTAACATTGACGTTAACAGATAAAGTTTTTAAATCCCCAAAAAAAATCGAAGTGCCAAAATGTCATTAAATGATTTCACTACATTTTTGGTTAAAAAAATTTTGAGGTGGAATTGTTCCCGAAATTTTTTCGATAAAGTTTATCCCATCGCGTTTGGTTTAGTTAGCTTTTGTTGATAAGTTGTTCAGGAAATGCTGCCCGTCTCGCCTGGATTGGATTGAGGACAAGGAGGAGAGGAAGCGATGAACGGCCGTAAAAAGGAGACATTTTTGGCACCGCGACAAACCACGCAAAACTCCATCCATGGTTTTCCACCTCGTTAAAGATGGCAACTAGTCTAGGAGAAAATTGTTCAGTCCAGTGAGTGTGTGTGGTCCCACTTCCGGCCAAGAACAAGAAGAAGAAGACACAATTCCACTGAAAAATCCAACCTCGGACAAATGTCTCGAAAAACTGGGAAATGGCAAACCTCAGGGAAAATGGTGGCGTCACGTGAAGTGAAAGTTATACAATTTTGGAGATATTTGACTTTTAATAATATTGAGAAGTTGGTATATAGACTTTGTAACGCGACAAACTGTGTAACGTTTGTAAAATTTTACTGCAAACTTTCTAAAAAAATTCTTGATTTGTGAAATTTTGCGCTAGATTTGTAAGCTGATTTTCCTTCATAATCTTTGTAAACTAGTGGAGTCATTTTTAAGATGGATTTTACTCGGTTTGTAAAGAATTGCTTCATTATTTCACTTTTAAATATGCATAAGAAGGTTACAAAATCATACTCAAAAAGTAATTGGCTGTAGCTTTAAAGTATACAAATTATACATATTTACTGACCAGGTTTTGCATATTTGAAATACCACATGCAAATTCATGCACAAAATATTCTCAACAATTTGGACCAATGTCTCTGAAATTAAAAGTTATTACGAATTGGCGGTACTACATGTTCCTTGTTACAGAAATATTTACAAACACGTTGCCGCGAAATTCAAATTTGTTACGAATTCGTATGCACTAAAGTAGCCCGAATTATTTAGAGTGTGTCCAGCAATCGTAAAAAGGAGTGTTTTTTGGTTTTCCAGAAATGCGTTTTTCCACATCTTTCTCCTTTATTATACAACCTCGTCGTAGCGATTCCGTTCTCTGGTTCCAAATAAAAATGAAATGGGTTGAAAAAACGGATGGACAATTGTACTTACTTTCCCCCCTTCCCAAAAAGCAATATCAATATCCATGCCAAATTGCGAAACTAATAATTCTGTCGTCTTCTCCACATTTATCTCTTTGCCCCCATTATACCATTTCGTTAGACCAAAAAACAACCATAAAATAAAATAAAATGAAATAATCCTAACCAAACTGTAGCATTTTTCAGTTGCATGTTTCGAATTACAATTTGGTTTTGGTCTCGTGTAGCATTTTATGGGATGAGATTCCGTTAATTAGTCGAGTTATTATTATTACTGGTACGATTACAATGGGGGAAATTGTTTTAAAGGGAAAAAATAACTAGGGCTGAGAGAGAAATCGAGAATCGTAGAATTTTATTGCGTTGTTTTTGCCTTTGTCAGACTGTTTTAATTTCATGGCGAGAATAGAATAGGGTTTGGGTCATTTATTCGTAATTCTGCTAATGGTTATTGTTATTGGGATAGTAGTGGCAGAAATGGGGAGGAATGACGAAGGGTTGGGTGGGTTTCGCAAGATTGGATTTTTTTTGTGGGAAGGGTTAATTTTGAGTTTTCGAAATTTTGTAATACGAAAAAACTAACATAATTTTTCGAATTTATGAAAGTTGATAAATTCTGGGGGTTCAAATTTACCTTGAGGCTTAAAAAATTCACTAAATCGAAAATTCAAATCCCAGTTAAAAACATTCGCAAGATTGGATTTCTTAGTGGCAAGGGTTAATTTTCAGAGTTTTCGAAATTTTGTAAAAAAAATATTTTTCTTCACCTCCGAGCCCCCAAAAATAAAATAAATCACAAATAAAAATCCCACTCAAAAACAACGCCTCTAAAAAACCCACACATTTTGCACCCTGTCCCAAAAATAACAGACATACTTATTTTGCTATGGGTGGGGTTAAGTTAAACCAGTGACAAAAAAATTTGCCCTCTCCATCACTCCAACTTCTGGGTGTGGCCACAATTGAATAAAATGGCATTTTCTCTCCATAAATATTTTGGAAAATTACTCAATTTCAATCCCAATTTTTTCCCCTGCTCCATTCCACTCGTGGTCTGGTTTTGGTTTGGTGTATCTCTGGTCTGGTCAAAATTTGGGGTTGGTTTGGTCATGCTGTGCCCACCAATTAGGGCGAGGAAGCCGCTTTATTTTATTTTACGAAAGCAGACAACTTGTCCGACAATTATAATTATACCCACGAAACCAAATCCAACCAAGGTCTGAAGCCCAGGCAGAAAGGAAACGGTAATGTTTAACGACTTCCCTGAATTTGAGAGAGACCTTAAAACTTTTTTGTTAAACGATGAAAGAGCAGGCATGGTAATTTTCCTTGGTGAGGATGATGACTTAATTACTTGAGACACGCGATAGCCATAATATCCGAGGAGTAAATTGTAACTCTCTCAAGGTGTGTTTTTGTTGTAACCTTTGACAATCGGATAGGTATTTAAGTATGGTTTGGTTTGGGGTGAAGAGAGAAAAATTAAAATTAGTCGCCTAATTTCAACGAATCTACTTTCTTTCGTGAAAATTTGGAGTCACAAAATTATTGAAATTGACGGAAAGCTTTACCAACATGTAACTTATCAAATTTAAAGGCTTTTTGATACTATTTGTTACTGAATAAATTCAAGTGGATGTTAGTAATTTTGTAAAATCTGTAAATTTATATTTATTTACAGTTTGTAAAGATTACGAATGAAAATTAGGTGACAAATCTATTGTAAGCTTAAACTGATAAAATAAGTTTACACAGTTTACTCGGTGTTTATTAGTGCGAATTCTCGAATATGCGAATCAAATTACTTTAATTACACCCTTCTATCTATCACATGATTTTCAACCTTAATCCCTACAAATTTCGCATTTGACGAATAAGTTTACCAAATTTTGACTTTCAAAATTTCTGTTCCTGTAAAAACCTCTGCTTTGAAATAAAAACATATGAACACATCTATTTTCATACAAATCATAAAACTGTCACGACCTCAATAAATAATGGTGTTAAGTATCAATCCTGAATTTAGTATCCTTTTCATCCACTTTTTCACCTTATCATCATAAAAATATGTAATAAAAAAGGAGTAAAATACATACATTCTACGTAAACCTGTAAACTCGTAAACGGTAAATTTTTACCCCCCGATTTTGTGGAAAATTGTAAAAAGTAAGCCCACAAAATTTACTAGTTGATTATACATTTACCTTCATTCATGTTCGTGTAGTTTGAGAGAAAATCAAAATTTTATTTTACAGGTTAAACGTTAAACTGACTGGGAAGAAAACGATAAAATTGAATCGTTCACCTTTCCTACCTTTTCAAAAGGCAATAAACTTAATTGTTTCCACTTTTACAAGAAGAAAACTTGTCAAACTGTGAGCTACCAGATTTTACTTGGGATTTTATTACCCCATCGAAAAACCGAGCAGCTACCGCATTTCGTTTTTACTCACATGACATAAAATAAAATGATCCGCTAGGTTTAAATCCTAGTCGTTTACGGACTAAGCGGTTCATTTAAAGTTTTAGAATTTTGTACCATTTACATTTTCAAAGTAAAAAATAAGGGTCAGAACTAAACTACCTATTTTGGTAGGTAAGCACTTATCAGTAAAATAAGTGGCACCAAAGGCATGTATAAATTGGAACGATTGGGTAATGGGAGACTTTTTAGAATAAAATTTGAGATGAAAAGTGAATTGAAGAAAAAAATTATTTGTAAAATGGATTATGTAAAATTTTGTCTATGAATCTATGAAACTCATTTTTGATGAAATAATATCTTAAATATTAAACAAGCAATGCAAATATGTACAAAATTTGTTGTCGGGCGTCAAGCTATGTAAAAAAATCAGTAAAAATCAGTTTGACCCTTTCATCGATTTTAACAAGCTTAAAGCTCAAAATGTTGAATTTGGAAAATGTGACAGGCAGCAAATTCTAAAACTTGTCCTGATTTTTCACTATTAAAATTAACACCAAAATTACCATTAAAACTAGAACACCTTTTTCCAAAGAACAAAACATATTTTAAAAATTAGATTAAATCACAGAGAATTCTTTTCATCCAAAGTCGATTAAAATTTGACTTTTTACGGATAAATAAGGCTTGTTTAATATGTAAGTAAGCGCACTTGTTAATTTTTGGCTTATTCTAGAACTCAGCGCTTTTTACTTGTTATTAAACGAGACCACCCCCACACGCCCTCCTGCCTCTAAAGATACAACATAATCCTCTAATCCCCTCGTGAGAAGGACCCTTGAACCTTTAAACCACAAAGAAACCCTCGAGTAAAACAATTCTTGTTTTCCATTTCGTTTTCCAAACCAAGAAAGAGTGACACGAATTTAGCTCAATAATCCACCTGTACTTTATTACTTGATATGTAGGCACACACCACAATTTTGTCTACCTGTCCACTTAACCGACTAATTGTACACCCACCCACCCACCGGAATTTCACACCGTCATAAATAATAAAGATGTAAACTAGTTGTAAACCTAGGAATATTTTGTCATGTGGAATTATATACTTTGTCGGACGGAAATGTCAATGAATTTGTGGATGATTTGTATATATTCCAGGAATTTCACACTTTTCTAAGATTTCTATACGTATGTTTTTCTGGTAACGGGATTCGCTTTGAAATAGTGGAAATTTTTGCGTGGAAATTTATCGAATACTTCCAGATTTTGACAAAAACATGATTCACTCGGATGTTGTAAACTTGTATTACACATTCTTTTTCAAAATAAAAATGACCATCGATCTGTGTAGGTTTACAATACAGGGATTTGTAAATAAGCGAATTTTGCTTAATAAACTGAAGTATGTTACAGTAGTGTACAAAATATGCGTAGTTTTAAAGACGCAAAAGTATCTTTTTAATGAAAATATATTCGTGCATTTCATAGGTTGTTGAGTTGTGCGTCGATAATTAAAAATGTCAATTTGTATGAATGACCTAGTTTTACAGTTACCCAAAACTATACTAATTCGGCTTTTTAATAGGTTATGTCAAGAGTTAATTAAAATTTCAAATACAAAAATTCAACGAAATGACAGAGCAGAATTTTAAGTAATAATTCCATTCGTTTTTTAGAACGTGCATATTTCCCATGTGTAAATTTTATCTTCGAAAAATATTGAAGTGAGACATTTTTGCATCAAAATTTCCCTAAAATTTTCGAATTTTATCACAAAATTATGAAATTAACACTTACTTGTTTTCGTTCTTGGTTCTCGTGGTCCATCCACCGTGACTTTGATCGCTTTCATGTAACTTGCCACCATAACGGGTCTCGCCTGCACGATGATCGTCAGAGAGAAACTTTTCCCTGTAAAAAATAACAAGTTGTTTTTAGAAATTTCTGAAAAACATGGGAACATATTGTATGCAAATGGGAATAATAAAATCGCTAACCCTTACCTCGTCCAGACCTCCCGACGAATCTGAGATCGTTAAATTTGGCAATATGGTTTTTCATGATGGCCGTGCAATTTCGCAATTCGCCACAAAAATTGTCGTCATTTCCGGCCTTGACAGTGACAAGGGTGCCATCTTCAATCTCATCCAAGGCTACGACCTGGAATGAAAATATGAAATAAAAAGTGGGCAAATTTGTAAAAAATAGAGTTAAATTATTTAAAAGTTTTTGGACACTTTTAGTCTAGTTATAACGTCATCATTAAAATTAAATAAATTTGGAACGCATTCCATTAGATTAAGATTCAGAACTTTTCCATCACGGATTTGGATTTTTGAAAATTCTTTTTAAAACTCGAGATTTTTAACTATTGTCAAAACTTTTACTAATTTAACGTTAAACATATTGATGTGAGATAGGAAAGGGTCAATGGGGTAGAGACAATTAATTTATCTTAGGTTGTTTATCAATAATCTTATCTAGAAACTTGAGAAGAAGCGTATTCATTTGGTTCTGTTTGGTATTAAATTAATTTCTCGCAAACTTTATGGATGTTTATCAAATTTTTAATATTTTAAGCTAAACGTCACGTCGGTATGAAAATTTACAATGTTTACGACCTGTTTCGTTTTTTAGTAATAATTGAATTGTCAATTTGTTTGTTCATGAGAATCAATTTAAAAAAATCGCATAATCAATTTACTGATAAATAAATACAAATATTTCCCCATTAAATATTTTGCGCACTACTTTTTAATTGAAATTATCATATCATTTAGGGATAGCTAGATAACTTTGTTACCTCTTTTTGCAGAATGAAAAGATGCACTAGCAATGTCAGGCTAAATAAGTAGCCTGAAATTCTCCTCTGAGATTTGTATAGCCTGTGTAATCTTGTTAAATTCACAAAATTTCAAAGTTTCACACATGATTCAATTGAGTATAAAACTATAAATTTATTTTTAAAATTCTAAACTTTCACAAAATAAAGAGACGCCCTTGATCTATGTACATACGGAAGTTTCCGATACATTTGTCACCTCGTTTTCTTTCATAATTTTTCTGATTTCTACTTTATGATAAAATATGGGAGAAATAATTGTATATTTGAATTTCGAGTAATTCTTACTAATTTTGTACTTACGTACAGACTTTGTCGAGCACGTTGAAGATATCTCAAACTTATTTTCATAATTACACATTTCAAGAAAAACTGGATTGGTGTGCAAATCCTACAGTTTAATTTAACCTCGAAAGCAAAATAAAATATAATCTGCGAAACTTCCATTACAATTCTGGTACAATTTTTATAGCAAAAATAAGTCCAGTTTCATAAGTTTTATGATTTGACTGAAGTACAAAAATCCTCCTGAAATTCTGCAATGCTACAGCATCGCTATTAATATTGTGTGAAACCTAATCTCACAATGTCTTCATCTAGATCCGATCTCCGCTAAGCATTTATCCGCTCACTTATCAATCCTCTTATAAAAAAATACATCAAATTCTTCTCACCTTAAAGGCAACCGGTAAACTTTTATTCGACCTCCAATGTGTCGGTAACGCACTACAGAGCAAATTAGGACTCCCCGTTTGCACCAATTCGCCCCCACCGTTCGCAAAGTCCATATAATCCTGGGGAAAATAACCCCCACCGCCTAAACCACCCCCACCACCGGGATGTTGCTGTTGCTGCTGCTGCTGGTGAAAGTGGTGGTGTCCACCATTTTCTAAAATTTCGGTCCCCATTTCCCCCGAATAACCGAAATCAAACCCTCCCAAGAAGGTGGATCCTCTTAAAAACTGAGTCTCGTGTCGATTATTAAGATGACTTTCTTCCTCCCGTTCGACGACGTCACCATCGACGTCAACGTCAACGTGATCGTCGTCACTGTCTCTGTCCACTTGTGCTAATTGCGAGAGGAGCGGATTTTTGAATGGAATATGCATTTAAAGTCGGACAAAAGGTAGTACTAATTTTCGGGGAGGAAGGAAACTGACATGGTTTTTATGTCCAACTAATTTTTATTTCAGTTTAACTTTCTCGGAAATTTTCAAATTTTGTAGGATTGTTTTGTAGGATTATTTTGTAGGACGATAACGTCGCACTTTTTTACACCAAAAATTTCATATACTTTGTAACTTTATCAGGTATCATTTATTTAAAATCCGCGTACTGTGTCCACTTCGATGATGGCTATTTTAACCAAAAACCACACAATATTTCCACTTTTTTAAAATTTTCCAAAAACTAAATTCAGATTTTTTCACCACTTTTTTTCCGTATCTCTTTCCACCACAAGAGCAAGTACACTGACGACTGACGGCAGGATGGGAAAAAGTCCGGTTTTTGGTCTGGTACGAGATGGAAAAGTGAAGTAGGAGAGAGGATGAGAGATGTGAAATGGTGGGGTGTGTGTGGCGGTGTTGGTATCATGTCCTATGGCTTCCATACCGTGGTTGAAGTCGTGGTTTCGTTTTTCTCTCTCTGCCAGAAAACGAAGGCTCATCACGTTAAAACCAAACCAAACCAAACCACCACGGATGAGAAGTAGAAAACCGTAGAAAACCAGGAGCAAAAGCAGAACCCACCCCTGTAAATGGATGACAGGATGGGAACAAAATACCACCCGCAGTTTGTGCGATTTACGCTACTTTCGAAACATCCATCCCTTTCACTGAACTGACTCAGAGGACGAGTCTCTCATTCTGTAAAAGGTTGTTGAGATGGATGAAAGAGTATTAATTTATCTGGCTTAAGGAAAGTAAAGAGTTTAATAATTGTGTTAATTGTCGTAATTTTGCGATGGACCACATTATTTTATAGGCGAATCAAATTTCCTCAGGTTTTAATTTCGACGTCAAACTTTCACAGATTTTAGAGATAAATTTATTTAACTTTGTATCATTTTTAGTGATGCTACACTATCGTAATGGAAATTATTAGGTGTGTATGGTAAACTTGTCTCGAACTTTCTTAACCATTTAATCTGTGAAAGTGGCATATGTCGCTTTGGCGACTTGTCCATAATTCGTGACAAAGGCATATGTCATCGCCAAAATCCGCTCCATAACTCGTGACGACGACATATGTTGCCACAGAAAACCTTACCTTAATTCGTGACGTAGACGTTTGTCGTTCTCAGGCAAATTCGCCATAATTCGTGACGTCGACATTTGTTATTTAGCCCGAACCAGGGCTTCTGTAATTGTCATGTCCGTTCGTCCGTCCGTCTGTCCGTCTGTTTATAGATAACTCTGGAACGAGTTGGCCGATTGACTTGAAATTTTTACCAGATGCATATTGGACAAAGTTAGGAACCGAGTTCGAAGATAGGCAAAAGCGGTCCCCTGGTTGACCCGTATGGGTCATCTGGGTGGGTGGGTATTATGCACCAAAATTTCGAAATTGTCGTAGAAAGCTGAAATTTGGCACAGAGGTTGCTAATGGCTCCTAATAGATAAAAATGAGTTCAAGTTGGAAAAATTTTCATCTTGAGGAACCCTATGGTGAGGGACCCCAACTGATTTTGCAAAGTCGTAATATAGAACTGAAATTTGGTAGAAAGATTGCTTGGTCCTAAAAGAAAAATATTTTCTCAAATTGGTAAAATTTTCATCTGGAGGGGTCTTATTGGGTGACCCATACTGATTTTTCAAAATCGTCATATCGTTCTGAAATTTGGCATTTGGTTTTCTTATGGCTCTTCATGGAAGAATATACATTGGAATCTGGAAGGACCCTATGGGGTGACCCCCACCAATTTTCAGGGATTAACATGGAAAGCTGAAATTAGGACCAGAGATCTTTACTGCTTTCTCATGAAATAATAGGAAGTTAAATATGAACAAAAATTTGCAGAGGGACACTAGGGGATGTAGGGTGACCATCCGTCCCGATTTAGCCGGGACATGTCCCGCTTTTCAAAACCTGTCCCGGCGTCCCAAAAATGTCCCGGTTTTGATAAAGTGTCCCGGTTTATCAAAATCTCAGGAAAAAATTAAATTATCCCGCTTTTTGCAAAAAAATATTGATGAAAAAGTAGATTTTAGCACATAAATACCAGTAACGTGCATGTAATATTCACTTAATCTCCTACCCTAGCTCTTTCTCAAAATTCGGTTATACTCGAATCGCCAAGCACTAGATATTATTGAAAATTTTTTCGCCAAAATATGTCCCGGTTTTAGTCGGGAAAAATATGGTCACCCTAAGGGGATGGTCCACACCGATTTCTTAAAATTGATATAATCAGCTGAAGTATGGAGTCGAGAAATAACTTAGGATTAACATTTACCCTATAGGGTACCTCAAGATAAAAATCTATTCAATTCCACGTTATATTCTTCCATTGCAAGTCATTATAAACTTTCACGCAAATTTTGAATTTTCGTTACCCTTGACCCCAACACCCATATGACCCCTACCGGCCAACCACTTGACCGATCGAACCAGTCTTCGAACTCGAGTTGTGTATTTGGATGGTCTATATGTGTGGAAAATATCAAGTCGATCGGATAATTTTAAAAAGAATTATCATCGTACAGATGGGCAACACGGGTACATAAGCCTTGGGTCGGGCTAGAAATTAAAATTTTTTGTGAAAATGTTGTCACGGAGTAACATATTTGACTGGCATTTTTGGTTACGAATAATGATCCCTTAGAAATAAAGCTCCCTCACGAATTAAGGTAACTCTACTGTCGCCTGGTGGCACGAATTATGGACATCATGACTTTTACTTGTCCTCTTTAAATGGTTAATCTTGAACTTGTTTCTATAATTACACATTTCAAGAAACACTGGATTTGTGTACAAATCATACAGTTTAATTTAAACTTGAAAGTTAATATTTTCGCACATTGAAATAGATATTTATCCGTAAAATGGCATATACGTCATGTCATATTTGTAAAATTTCCTTAATTTAGCATTTCAAATTCATAACCACTTTCTTTTTATTTTTGTCACAATTCTAAAAATTGGTAATCATTAGCGTCGATCTGTAAAATAAAAATGATAAGCACTTTTCTACTTCAACAGATCAAATCGTTGTTTTTATCTCAAGATGTGGGTAACATTTTCATTTATTTTGGCCTTCGTTCAGATTTTGAAGTGAAACGAATGTTGGGAAAAAATATAAAAATCCGAGATTTCGGATGAGATGAGATTCCAGGAGTTTGTGTTCTTTACTTAAGAAATCAGTACAACAAACTTATTTATGTACAAACGGCTTGTAGCTTATTTTACGGGTATGCGTGCACATTACAAATGTACTGTGTTACATTTACATTTAAACTGCAATAATAATGTACATGTCCTCTGCACTCTTGAGAGGATTAAAAGCATCAAATGTGTGCATGGATTTGGCTACATTTTTCTGCTACACTCTTAAAAATATGGTGAACAAATGTAACAAAGTTCCCAGCAAAATAAAATAAATTCTAAAAAAGTCTATCAAAGTGGTAGAAAAACAAATAAGATTTGTAACAAAAGAACGCTACCGAAGTTTTAACTGCTGTTGCAAAAACTAGCCTAAATTAATTTTATGGCACCAAAAATCTTTACAATTTGGCGATATTTTTATACCGACGTGGTAAACCCATACATACACACAAAAGCAGGGTCACATGAGTATCTATAAAACAGAGTACACATTTACCCGAAAAAATATATACTGTTGAGGGTATCCATTGCCACCATTTCGGGCCAAAATATATGAACGGGAGCGAGAGAAGAGAGGAAGGAAGCGTGGAGCTATGGGAAGCCCGAGATGATGTGGCGATGAGAGGGTCGAAGGTCCTCTTTCTGTTTACAGCTTATTTAGTCAACGTGAACGTGCAGACAATTTATTATGATTTACAATTCACATTTAGCGTTCGGGTCTCGGCTAATCCACAAATCACGCACCACACCAGCCAGCCCTGCGTCCTTCCAATGTGTCATCAGCTCACAATCCAACCTCCTCACTTCCTCTCGCCAGAAGTAAATGAAATCCATAAAATAAACCCACACCGACAGGGTTCCAAAGTCAAAGTGAGAGAAATGAGGGGGATTTATCTGTACTAAACTGGGCGAAATGATGACAATTTCGCTAACTTTCTCCACCTTGATATGTAGAATTTGTGGTTTTGACACGAATTTAGTCATACTTCGTGTAAATGTTAAAACAAAATTAAGCAAGTCAAGACAAAGTTGTCATTTTTTGCTATAATTTTTACTTTGTGATATTAAAAATATAGAAAAAACTGTATACTTTCATTTGACATAATTCTTGTTAAATTAGTATCTGAAACAGAACACACCTAGAACTAATCTTATTAATTGAACATTTCAAGAAAACCTGAACTAGCGTGGAAATCATACAAGTTAATTCAACTCGTAAGCAAAATATAATCTGGGAAATTAGCAATTTTAAGCAGGTCTAGTACAATTTTTATTGCAAAAATAAGTCCATAAATAAGTTCATAAATAACACCGAGATTAATTTATTATGAAACAATTTGGAAATATTAGATTATTTATTATTTGAAAATAAATATATTTCATAAGCATTTATTATGTAATCTAATCAATTTTATTTATGCAATGTATCGTTATTGGACCACTTTTTCTCTCTCTCGTGATCTAAATGGAATATTTTTTCTAAATAAAAGACTACATAAATCCCACTTTTACCCACGTGATTTTATCCGAGGGGTGTGAAACATGGCATATTTTGGTCAGGATTGAGATGAGGTATACCAAAGAGCAAGCCACACCAGAGAGGAAAGCAAGGGTCGCCTTGTCGCCATATCTCGCCAAGAATAACACGACACAAAACAAGGACATGGATATCTACACGCTACACAAAGAGGGAGAAAAGGGAAAGAGTAAAACTTAATGGTTTTTACTTTTGGGAGATGTTATTCCAGAAAATGAGGTTAAAACGAGGCTGATTACAGTAGGACGACTATGTGTTAATGGGAGCATGGAGTGGAAAAGGGTTGTTTTACTTCTGGAGAAGAAAAGACTTATTAAAAACTTAGATTTTTACAAAATACTTAAGTTGAATGTGCTAATATTAAAGTAGTAACTTGATTTCGCAAATTCTAACAGTGTTCATTTGTCAACGAATTCTTCTTAAACATTTTTAGTCAAAATCTTCAAAAAATGAAATGTAATCCTTTATATCCATCCTCTGGCTCAATCTAATTTCTTACAGTATTATCATCATGCTGGTTAAAAAAGCCGAACCGACTCTCAAATCATACAAATTGCAATTTCATTTTATTAATTTATAGTAAATTTTACTATCACAGATACGCTATACTTAAATTGGTAAATGTCATTTTATATATTTTAACACTAATTATTGAGTTTTTATACATATTCAGTAATTTTTTTTATGAAGTATTTTTCACAAAGTAAACTGACATTTAATCCACAAAATTAAATTTGCAGTGTATTTCAAACTAGATAGGATTAATT